AATGTTTCCAGGTTGTCTTCAGCTCTGTGAATTCGCACTTCAAGATAAGCTGTCATTCAGGAATAATGAAGAGTCAGTAAGGAAATCTGATTAATACTTTTCTCCTTTCTATTCAGGTGTTTACCACATTCTGACTAATAGGTATCCATGTAGATGCATGCCAACGTTTCATCTTCTGTGTTGTGTTTATAGTAACCTTGCACATCACATGCTTACACTTTGGCTTCAGACTCAGTAATGGCTACTGGACTACTGTGAAAGATTAGTATGGGTAGATTATAATGACTTCAGTGTCCCTTTCAAGGCTTACTCCCTTTTTCGCAGAATGCAGAACTCAGGCAAAGTGGCTGTCATTAAAAGGCTTGAATACCTTGACTCAGAAAAACTATGCACTGCTACACCTGCTGACATAAACTTAATAGAGTAAGGAGGAGGAGGTATCCAGCCCAGTTATCTTCTGACACATCTGCATTCAAGCAGGTGATAATTGAAGTCATTTTTCCTAACACTCAGGCAAGGCAAGAGGCTGCTTCCAAGCAGGTGCCAGGGCAGTTCCTGGCCCAGATGGTGTTGTGCTGACACAAGCTGTGTCCATAGCCTGCAGATGCACTTGAGGAGCATTTTCTTTTGTAGCTGCTGGGCGGTGTATGCAAGCCTCATTTGGCCTCAGAGTGGGAAGCCGAGCTGATGGCAAGTGTCATCTGCTGAAGGCACTGCTGTGAGTCACCTGTGGCAGCTGGAGTGAGTTGCCTGTGTGCAGGACCCCATTCTGTACACGTGTAGTTTTGATAGTGCTGTCAGCAGCTCTGAAACATGGGCATTGGAAGAAGCCTAGAAAGTGGAGATGCTTTATCTCAAATTTTTGAATTCATACTTTTAATTTTGAAACCCTAAATGGAGTTATGGCCAAATGACTCTATTGCACTTTGGTTCTTTGTTTTATGGTTCATGTGGTAACTGTCTTTCTAGAAAGAGAGGGCACTTTTACATTTTCAAACCAGTTGACTTTCTGGAGTCTGCGCTGCAGTGTAGCTAAATGCAGATACCTGTTCTGTGAGGGAGCAGTGACACATTCCTGAGGTGGTTCCTGGGCAGCTGCAGGAGACAGTGCAGCCACACCAGTAGGCTACCCCTGTTGCGTCAGCACTTGGCAATTAAAACGGGTGTTAGTCTCTCCATGCAGTTCCACTGTCCATAGGAACAACAGGACAATGTGCAATTTTGACTTTTCATTGCACATTTCATTTTCATTGTACAAACAGAAACTTATCAATAATGAGTCTTTTTTGGCTGTAGAGGTCAGCTATAGAGAATTTCTTCTATTGCAGTTTCCCATGCACTGGGTTACTTATTAATGGGTTAAAACTTGAGCAAGCATCAATAATTTGTAAGTAGATCTAAGTGATTACTAAGGAAGCAGTTTTAAAACTCATGCCTAGCAATAGGTAGCTCCTTAAAAAGCTAATCATTATCTGGCACTTCTCTAAAAAGTAGCACAGTGGTTAGCTGGCCTTTGAGAGCTTTCTGCTGCAAAGGAAAAGGGAGCTGTGTTAGTAGGATCTGAGCTAGACCAGCAATCTCCTTTCCTTTGGATTAATGGGTATTAAAACAGGAATATGTAATGCTGGAAGAAGGAAATTATTAATTTTAGGGTCAGTGGCTTGAGCGTAGCATGAGTTTTAATGCAAGTACCTCTCCTAATTGCAGGAAAACTGCTTACTTTGAAAATCTGATGTCAGGTGTTATTTGAAAGTAAACGAATGAGCATCCTTAATTTTCATCCCCTGGGAAGGTCATAGTGTCTCTGCAGTGAATAATAAGCACTGGCAATGTCTGGTCAGCAAAGACTTTTGTAACTGAAACTGCAGAGAGGAGTGAACCTCCACCACCAGCGACTGCATTGGCTGTTCTTTATTTATTTCCATCCTTCACTAGTGGTTAATGTGTTCTTCATGCCTTTTTGGTGATTACTCAACAGCTAGTGCTTCTTTGGGAGGGGACAGGCTATATTAAGGGAAAGAAATGGGAACAGACTTTACCTGCATTACCAGCATCTCTGCCATCTCATGTTTTCAGTATCTTAGCCATTCCAACTACCCAAATAGGCTGCAAGTAAACTCAGGCTGACATGAGTATAATGGCTATGAGACGGTCAGCAGGGAGCTGCTGAAGTTCATAGAACAATATAATTTAGAATTTGCCTACAGTTATTCAATTTAAGCGTGAAGACCAAGGTTGAATCATGAATTCACCACCACTGTCATAATGGTTCATTTATTTTAATGGATCCTACTATGAGTTCATTTGTGTTGGTTTTGTTTTTTTTTTTTTTATAGTAGAATATTATTCCATTTCTAGCTGGCCAGACTTATTAAGTTTCCACATTTTCCATATTGCTATTGAAAATCACCAACAGATAACCAAGTGCCATGAATGCTGGCAGAGAACTTGTCTTGCCTTGTGCTAACTGCAGCATGGAGAATGGCTGTGCACCTTGTGGAGGCAAAATAGTCAAACTCCTCTTTTCTTCTGGACCCTGTCTGGCTGCTTTCAGTTTTAGAGCAGAAAGGAATAAGTCTGAATCTCTCTTGATTACATATGTCAGAAGAACAGCATTATTTCTTCTTCATCTGAAGCCTGAGCCATTTTCAGTAGCTGACAAAAGCCAGCCTGATGGTTTGATTTGCTGAGATGGACAATTACTCACTGCTTTTCAGAGGGCAGAAAAGGCATGTAGTGGCTACGGGAAGCTTACAGCTCTTTCTTCACAAAAAGACCTTGATTCTGTTGACTGGACTGTTTTTGGCAGTGCTGCTAATTTCATCTATTGAGGGAAGTCTCAATTCTCATATAATACCAGAGTATTTTTAGGAAAAACTGAAATGGCAAGATTTTTTTTTTCAGTTTCTGTCATTCTGCTACAAACACCTATAGAGAAGAGGGTCCTTCATTGCATGTTTCCAATAATAGAGCAAAAGTGGATTTGTGTGGTGATTGTGCTTAATCTTTCAGAGGTGTTACATCTTACCTCCATTCTTCTGCAGCACGGTGTTCTCTATTACAGCACCTGCTGTAAAGTAGCATTAGTACATGTCAGGAGTAAGAAGATCAGCCTACAGAGAGGCAAGGTCAGGAGACTTTTTGTCCAGACCTACACAGGAGAAGCATTAATCTATGGCGTCCTTGCAGTTGTGCGAACTCCCACTGCAGAGCCAGTCCCAAACTTCATAGCTTTAAGTGCTTCTCCTTTCATGTTTTGTGGACTGTTGAAATGAAATCTGCTAAACTTAGGATGTACGCTTTGCACCCTCTCCACCAAATGCCATGATACAGGCATGATTTACCTGCTTGAGGTGCTGTTATTGCACTAAGCAATCACTTTTCCCGGCGCTTGTGCCACCTGCTTTCACTGCATCACCTCTTTATTTCTTTGCTGAGATGATGACAGGTGGTGGTCCAAAACCTCAAAACTTCATCTAGTGTATTCTGATAAAAGGATTTCTTATAAGGAAGTTAGCCTTCTTTTTTATACTGCAAAGTATACTTGAAAATAGCTGTTTAGCTTTAAAACCCCTAAAATTTTTATAATTGTTGTGAAGTGACTTACGTTATCTTAATAGGAATATAAAAGTCTACGTATAAAAGTATCCCCCAAATCTTAATGTAAAGAAATAATTTTTTTGCAGTGGTAAGAAGAGTTCTGTGAGACTGGAGATCAGAGTTATATTTCTATCTCTGTCAGAATTACTGTGAGCCTCAAAAGATCAACAAGTTCAATTATTTGACTTGGTTTAATTAAATAGAATAGAATGTGTCTAAATCACAGTTTTCCTAGGTAAAAATTTAAAACTGTTTTTCTTGTATTTTTCTTTTCTAGATCTGTATGCATAGAATATTATTCTTCGATTTATTATGAAATAAATTAATTTGGAGGTATTATCTTGGGACATTTATTTGATTCTCATTAAGAAGACCAAAACCCGCTTTTCAGCCGCAGACTTGGATCTTTTGGATCCCTAGCATGAATAAATGTTTCTCCTGCTTACAGGGACACAATTTTGCAAACTGAAATTTGACTTCTGATACATACTAACTGTATTTTCTGAGAACAAACCAATTTGTCTTGTTTCTCCAAATTCCTTCCACAGCTACATGTCTGTACAACTCCCTGTTGATATTTTTTTCAGTATATTCCTGTTTTCACGTGCTGACATCAGTTTTACAGGAATATTACTGCAAAAGTAATTTTTGGAGAAAGAGATTTGTTCCTCATACAGTTTCAGCTCATTCTTACTAATCTACTGTTTCTTTGTGTGGTTTTTTATTCACCTGTTCTTTTTACAGTGCAGTGCTGAATACATTCAGTGCACATGCAGTAAGCCTTACTCCACAATCAGTGCAACTTCTGTGAAACTAAGGGCAGGGGGATATGTTGAATAACGTTGGCTGGATTTGATCTGAGAAGTGTATTTTCTATTTACAGTATTTATAGAATAGGCAAATATGAACTAAAGTTTCTTTTAGCTTTGGAGTGCTGGGGAGCGTTTTAGATTTGTTTGCTTCTTAATCAAATCTTATTATTTGATAAGCGTATTTTTCTCCTTAGAAGTAGGAAATTGCCTGGCCCTCAGGGCAAAGCTTATCTTCTGATGTAGCCATGTGCAGAACACGTGCACATCTCAGCCCCTTGTTTCCAGCTCTCTTCAGTGAAGAAACATGGATGCTTCTGGAGCCATTTGTGTCTGAAATTTTCTTGAGATGCCAGAGATTTCACACTAAAGATTTTCATCTCCATTCAGCATAGAGAAAGTCCAAAAGATGATGTTTGACTCTGTACTGAACTTGTAGATGGCTTAAAGGAGAGGGGGTGAACCTCTGCTATGCTCTTGATGCCATGTCCCTGGGTTTGCAATATTATAATAAAAAAGCAGTGTTGGACAGGTTAGAGCATTATACTGTGGGACATCCCGTGGATTCATGCTCTCAATTTCCAATTTCAGGGAGGAGAACATTGCTATTATCAGGGAAAAATTCGAGGAAATCCAGTGTCATTTGTTGCCTTGTCAACATGCCATGGACTACAGTAAGTCTGGTGTTTTGTTTTTACTGAACTTCACTTAATCTTTTAAACAAAGTTGTTTAAAAAAAAAATAATGCCATTTGTTCATTAATTGGTTTGCAACCACTATTATTATCTCGATAACCTTTACATAAAATTAATCTAATTTGAACCTTGTAAAAGTGTTGTTTTTTTCAGGACCCACTGCCAAAACATCCAAGTTTTTTTTTTTTTTTTCTCTCTCTCTCTCTTCTTTTGTTGCTTTTTTATTTTATTCTATTTTTTTTTAAACTAAGGACATATGATAACAGCTTTGACCAAATATTGTTTAAGATAGTTTATAATAGAGAGATGAAAGTAGCTGAAAATGCTCCATTTTGCAGGAAGAAAGAATAATACCAAGGTTGATATGAACCATCCAAAATTCACTTATGTTCTTTTCGTATTATTAGAATGCTATATTTATTCTTTCTTTTCTACTTTGTTTACAAAGGAAGGTGTCAGTGTTGAGTTTCTCTAGTCCTATCCATGTTCTTCACAGAAGTGCTTGTCTCTGAGATAGTCAAACTTGAAAATCTGAAATAAAGGATGAAAAATTGTGCGTATTGTTTCAAAGTGCATGGTTTTAGTGGTAATGTAGTTAAAGCTCCTGTCACTTGAAGGTTACACAGAGCTGTGTGCTGATTCTCAACTTTTGGACCTGTCTACTTTTGGCACTACTGAAAGATACTTGTCAGGTTTACAGAGCAGCCAAGTGCCTTCAGTGTCTGTTGACTCTGGGAATTACAGGACCTCAGCACTTTTGATGTTCAGATCAGCTGGGAAGGTCAGGGCAGCAAGGAGAGCCTGAGCGTGGAGATTGATTTCCCTAAGGAAGCAGGACTCAGCTCATAGAAATCTTCATTGTTATCCATTTCCAAGTGTTCTGTAGTTTCAGTATCAGACACACACATACACATATTTAAGTAACTTTTATATTTGTACTTTCTTTATAAGGAAGGGGGAGAATGTATGCATTAGACCCATCATTCCTGCACTCATTGTCTGACTTAGAGATGCGCTTCTCTCATTTATTGCCAAGGTTGAGCAGCTCGATTAAACTGACCTCAGGTTTGGTGGTGTCAGTGAGCCTAAAAATAGCAGCATCCTGCTGCATCTTGAGGGGATTTAGCTTCATGGCTTCCATTAGCAGTGATCCATTAGGTCTAAGCCCCTGCTAACTCCTAGGAGAGAGTGCAACAATAGAAGGGGCAGCACACGTCCTTTCTTGGCCTCCTTTTGCTGGTTGCCTCTTAAGACTGATCTGCTGCTGCTCAGTATTTTCAAACTGCCTAATGTTCAAATAGAGTTCTTCTAACTCTAGTAATGCAGTAATGTGAGGAAAGATGCTTTCTTTCCTGTACGATTCAGCTCTCTCGAATGTTAGCTTTTTCTTCTTTTTTTTTCTTTTTGTGAAATGTTTCAGCAGTTATCCTTCACACAGGATGAAATATGAAGCTTACTGTAATGGGCTGGTAATTCCAGCATCTGTTATGAGAAAGTTTTCCTGAGCTATATTAACCTTACCTTCTCTGGCATTGCATCTCCAGCATTACAGCTAGTTTCTCCATAATCTGTTTCAAATGCTAATTAAATACTACAAATATATACTGAATTTTAGGAAATGCATGAAATGCATGAGACAGAACAGATGCCTTTAACAGACATTTTTTCAGACATGCCTGCAGAGATGATGTTGTATTTCTAATCATAAATTGTGAGTTCTTCTGTTGGTAATGTCTGTGTGGTAGTTTTCTTTTCATTAATTAAATTAATAAGGTGACTGGCTGATGGAGTCCTCAAATGATGAATTTCTTCTTAATGACTTCGCTAATGAAATAAGTTTCTCTACAACTTTAACTCCAAACTCACTGGAATTTTTTCTTTCTGTGGGATATGCAGTAACCACAGCTCCGTGTGAGTTAATGCAGGACGCTTTGAATGCAAAACACTTTGGTTGCTGGGATATAAATGATCTGTGCTCAGTTCTGAGCTGAGCTCGGTTCCGCGTTTGGAGGCCAGTCACACAGAAACCAGTTGTGCTGTGATTTTGCTGCCCACTGGTGGTAAATACATAAACTGCTGTTGTAAGTGCGAGCTAGTCTTTCGTGTCTGCAAATTTGTTTTTCTGAATAACCCAAATGTGGATTTTTTAGATAGCTTGTGTTTTGCTGCTGCTTTCTCTCTAACACAGTGTGATACCTTGACAGTCTAAAACTATTGAAGTCATTGGAAAAGTGCCATGGGGGGCAAGTCAAATCTGAGGGTCAGCTGTGATTATTTTTTTTTATTAAGTGACTTGATCAGAAGCCAATGCTGCTGAGTACAACACTCACACAAGAAGTCATCTGTTAACAACACTTGGTCTTGCAGACTGTGCTTAAAACTGTAATGAAAATGAAGGAGGTTTAGCATGATGAAGAACTGTTCCAGACCTTCCCAAATGTCCCCAAATCTTACATTTTTCTGAGGCAGAAACCTTCAGCAGGTGCTAGAGTATTTATTTTAGGAGCACAGACAGTGCTTCTTCCTGGAGAATAAGCACAGAATTGTGGGTGTACTCATGGCAAAGTCTGAAGTATGTTATAGACTCAGCAACCCAAGCTACTTCTGTGAATGCTGAATGGTTAACCTTGTAAAAGTGATGCTAAGAAAAATATGCTCACCAGGAGATGTCATAGTCTACAAGCTTAATATACACTTACATTTCTAAATAGTCAGAAATGAAATGGCAGTATTTCACTCACTGCATTAGGCCCTGAGCAAAATTAACATTTTGCTGATTAAAAATTAAGTTGTGTTAAATAAAAAGTGTCAGGGTTTGTCATTTATAATTCTGATAATTTTTTTTTTTTTAATGTATAGGATGTTACTAAAGAGTAATCTAAATAAATAAATGCTTTTATGCTGCTATAATGTGTGCCAAGTTTTAACTTGCAGGTCGGATTTATAGTTAGGCTCAAAGTCCTGCTAGGAGCATTTTGAAATGGACATGCTGATACAGCCTAATTCCAACCATGCATGTATGTCACTGCTGTAAAGGGAAAATTTAAAAAAATTGCTGGTTTGTTTGAAGATCAAAATAGTGATATAAGAAATGCCTCCCTAACCTCTTTACATAAATAAACCTAAAGCAGCTCGTAATAGAAAGCATAATTGTAGGAATGGACTGTGTTTTTTACTGTGTATTCAAGTTGTAGTACCAGAACATTTGGCGTTGCTGTCTTCATTGATCTGGGATGCCTTAACACTTCAGTACTTTGTAATAGAACTTACGAAGATTTTGTGCCACTAAGAAAGAGCTCTTGGTTCACCAGAACCGGGGATGTGGCATAAGGCTTTGTCCTCAGTATCTGTATTTTTCATCACAACTCATTAGATGAGTTCATATGATGAGGTTTTAATTTCCTTATCGTGAAAATCATATAATGTCTGTACTGATACAGTGCTATATATATAGCATTGGCTTTTTCTAGAAAGATGAATTAATTCGAGAAGAAGAGACTATCTATTGTAATTGTTATTACTGGAGCATCTCAAACATCCTGTTATGTCCCTTGTCCTTGGTACTATGCAATATTACTTTGGAAAGAGTAAATCAAAACCATGAAAATCTAAGATCAGTTCAATTTATTTTTATTTGTAGGAAAGCTGTAGGCAAGTTTGAAAACCTCTGTATGAATAATTCTGAAGGCAGAGCCCTTACTGCAAGTAGATCTGTATGAGATTGGCTCTAAGCTGGATTTTTGTGGTGTTTTTACATATTGTAGAGAAGATTTGTAGGAGAAAGTAGAATCTATCTATAAAAGTAGAACCTATCTATATATCATTATGGGAACGAGTATCTTTCTAAAGCAAAGAAACAAAAAAAAAGATTCAGAATTATGTTCAGTTCCTGAAAACGTTTTTAACTGCTTCTCTTCTGAAATATTTGTTTTTAAATACGTGAGCTTCTTAAACTTACTTCAGTACTGTGCTAATGTTTGTTTTAAATTTACTTCTCTTGCTTATGACAGTGGGATGTTCTATGATGGAAATCATACTTACCTTATTGAACCAGATGAAAACTACAATTCAGATGTAAGTAGAACTTCTGGTAGTCCTGCTGTATTTTTTTCGTGGAATACAGGCATTCATTGGTACAGATTAGGTATAAGACTCATTCCCTTCGTTACCAACTCATTAACTCAGCTTCTCAGTTTCTGAGTCCTCCTAATCACAGACAGAAGTAATCCTGCAAAAATCAGGTAGTGATACATGTACATGTTCCAGAACACTTGGAAGTAGAGCAGTGCAGCACTTCTGGAGGCTGAGTGTCACTTGGAGCCAGCTTGAGATGTCTGTGAGTGTTCTGTCCCCTCTTTTGGCACTGGGTTTGTTATATCCCTCTCCTCCTGCTTTGCTCTATGCTCCTGTGCAGCAGCTCCCAGGATTCTCAGTGCTCCCTGGGCAGCTCTCCTAAGTCCATCTCTAAGTGTGCTCAACGACTTTGTTGCTGTACTCACGTACTTCAAATAAAAGATGTAACTGTGGTGGTAGCAATCCCACCACAGCTGAGAAGAGTGAAAAGAAATGGTGCCTTGCAGGTTGCACTTTTCCTAATGTAGGTTTTGAATAGCAAGGGACCCTTTAGAATTGTCTTGTTAAGGCTCACAAGATGATGATTATTGATTTTTAATGCATGCAATTATTTACTATTTCAGGATGACTTCCATTTCCACTCTGTTTACAAATCCAAGTTGTTTGAGTTTCCTTTGGATGACCTGCCATCTGGTATGATTTTTTAATATTCATTGCTATTGATTTGTTTTAGTCTAAGATCAGATTTGTTAATCATTTTTGATGAATAATCTTCTGACAGTGCGTTGTTTAATTGCATATCTCTTTCCTATTAAAAAAAAGAAAACTTGAAAAAATAGATCTGAAACACTGAAGGCACTGGAAAAGAACATGAAGGGCTGAAAAAACTTGAATCCAATGAATCAGACTCCTCCCAGACCTTCACGTTACGGTGTATGTTTCACTTAACAAGTCTTGCAGTCTATAGACTGCGTTATTTGCTAAGAGTTATAGAAAAGAAAGGAATAGGGTAGCCTAAAAGTGATGAAAATAAACCTCACATTGCCAACAGCTCGTAACTTTTCATGGATTTTTCCCATTTTGAGATACAGGGTGAGTATCATGGTGTGAATGTAAGCCTGAGGGGTATGTTATTGTTGTTCTTGGGCCCTCTAATTTCCAGTTCATTCAGCATCTCTTGTGATGCTGACTGTAGTGCAGATATTCATTTAAATAAAATTACTTTGGAGGTAGAAATGGTTTCAAGTTCTTGTAGTAATCCACAAAACACTTCAGTTTGTGTGTGGAATAAGACGAAATTTTTAAAAATCAGTTTTCATCTGAGAAGTTGGCTTGTTAATTTAAGCAAAAATGGCAGCATTTATGACTTATCCTTATTCTGTCAAGGATTTGCAATATTTACAGATGCATTTTCTTACACTATAAAATAAATGCTAGATAAATAAAACTATCCATTCGTAGACACTCATTTTAGTAGAAATCAACTCTAGGCTAATTTCTTTTTAGATAGAGGTTCCAGTTGCCCAGTGCTATTGCCACAAGTATTATTTATTCTATGAAAACAGTGGGATCTGGTCTCCTACCATGCTGGGCACTGCCCAAAAGATGAATCATCCTGTTCTGAAGCGTGGCGTATGCAGCTTTGTTAACTGTTAAGCAAAGCAGAATTGTTCAGAGAATTAATGGGAAAACAAAACAAAAACCTAAACAACCAAGGGAATTGCTACAATTGGGTCACCTTGATTTCACTTCTGGAGAAGCAATCTTTCTGCCTTTAAACATAACATTTTCCCAGCTTGGTACCTTATGTCCCTGCTTCTTATGGCCAGGCAAGGCAGAGGATGGAATGGGGTGGAAGGGCAGCACAAAGTGCTTGTGCACAGCATGCTGTCCCCGTCCTATCTGGAAGCTTACTATGTATGTGCACCTTACACATGATCCATGGTTACTCCGTGTGCTTGCGGAGATGATAGAGTAATGAGAACAATGTATTGAACACGAGGCTGACTGATCGAGTGCATCTTGTATCAGAGTTTCTTAAGGATATGTCATTTAGAAGTCTGGAAATAATGCAGTCACAGCTGAGTGACTGAGAGGAGTCTTCTTTCTCAGACTGTTAAAACAGGGGACTGCCAGAGCTGGTACTTACAGATATCTGTCAGCAGTCTCCTAAGATTTCTTAATAGTTCAATTTTATGTTTGCAAGATTCTGGAGTAAAATAATTATTTTCTGCTTTAAAAATTATGAAAAGGAATTCATTGCAAGCAGAACCCACCTGTTTCACCTCCACCAAATCTTCTTGATTCTCTAAAGATCTGTCAAAATAAGGCTTCAGATTTTTCCACAGAAATCCAGATATTCTTGCATAGTTCTGATTTTACCGTAGATAACAAGTAAATAGTTGTTGGCTTTTCAAATGGAAGATGTTTCCCTTGATTGAATTAAAGTCATGATGTCGTAAAATTACTTTGTTTAAAATGTTGAAAAGGAGATTTAATTATGGAATGCTGGTGGTCTGAGTTATAGAAATGTTTGTAATGTGGAGAAAAGGTGATATCTTTTTGTGCTTAGTATCTCATCCGCTCTTCTACATGCTTGTATTTGCTTTTGTGAAGCTGTTTGGAAACATTATTCTGAGGCTTGTTGTAGAAGTTTTGGTAGTTTCAACAAATTATGCTCTGGCTGAAAATCCCCCCATTTTTGTCTTTGGTTATTCAGTGTAAGACTGTTTTTAAGTCATGTTTCCTGGACAGCCACAGCTCCAGAGGATGAGAGCTGTTCCCACTGCTATCTGCTTGTCTACCCTTTCCCCAGTATGAGCTCTGGTGTTCATCCCCAGCCCCGCAGCACACCATATCCCACCTCCTCCTTCACCTCCAGCCTGCGCTGCCCCACCAGCACAGCTCCTGCACCGAGTCTTCCCTGCAGTCTGTGTGGTGTGCTCTATTGCCTTAACTTTCCTTTTTTGTTGTTTTCTTTAAGAAATACTTGCAAGTAACTGCTTGTCTTATAGATTCATTTTAATTTTTTTTTATTTTTGGAAGTACTGCCACAGAGTCATTATTGTTAACAGCGAGCACTGTGTTAGATTATGGCATCGGTATTTCTTATGTTCCTTAATACTTTCCTAATTTATCAATTTGCCCAGCGTAAGCAGCTGTTCCTTGATGTCAGGATTTTCTTTTTATCTTTTGAAGAGTGTGTAAGCTCAGATTTCCACTCAGCTCTGCATTAGGAATGGACTAGATGTATCACGAGCTTCTATATTGATGTTAGAAAGGAAAAAAATCAAGTGGTAGGGATTACTCAATATCAGTAATTATAAAAGCCCACTATTTTACCACAGTTCAATAGCAATATACTTTTTACATTCTTTTGCCCTTTGGGAATTCAACAAAGAAAGAGACAAACAAAAAAGAAAATAGCTATTGCAGAAAAGAATAAATTGTATTGTACTCTACAATAGCACGTAGAAGCAGTGACTTTAAATAAGGAAAGCTCATCCAAAAACTTAGCATGTTTGGAGCCTTTGACTGCATAGTTTAGTAGACTGTACATTTTCTCAGTCTGTCTTCAGACAGTGCCCTGGCATTGTCTTAGACAACAGTATTTATTGAAGGTGTTGTTTTTCAAGTAGTGTATAACAGATGTCCCTTCCTTTTGGGGTCACTTGAGTTGTCCTTACATTTTTTTCAAGATAATATCTTCCTGTCAAAATTTCCACTAGGCTTTTTCAGCTCTGCATTTCCTGGGTGATTTTGCTGGTCATGTTATTTAGCCTGAGGGTCTCTGGCTGGAAACGGACCCTGTGTGAATTCATCCAGCTTGTGAGTTATGGTGCAGTGTTAATGTGTGCTAATGTGTCAGTGCTAATGGCTGCATCATTCCCCTCGAGATGGCTGACTTCCGATGGCAGGGTAAAGCTTCACGTTCGCTGGTCAAGTTATCTGGGATCCCATACACGTGTCGTAAATTACTGTTTCATCGATTTAGAAGTTATATTGTTACTAGTTTCATTAATGATAATACAAGAAACCTCAAGCGAAAGGTTCAGAGGCACAAACACAGACTGAATTAATCAATATACCCAAAGAACAATCAAATATAAATTTATTTTTAAAAGTGTGAAGATTTGGTTTGTTATCATTCTGAGCTCTGGAGGCTCCAGGCCTTTAAGCAATAGATAGAAATCCTTGGGTATTATTTAATTTATTATGGATCTTTTTTTTGTACAGAAAATCTTTAAGTGCACTGGTGTATCCATGAAAATGTTCCTAAGCCTAGGATTGCACAGGCCCCTTCATAGAAGGGTATCTGCAAATTTCATGCACCAAAATGAGAGCATAATTGTCCAGATACAGCCAAGACAATGCCAGTTGTCCAAGCTTTGCTTTGATGGTTTGCATTATAACTGAATAGCCACTCCAGGTTAACATTAGCTCTTATCCCTGGTGAAACTTTGTCAGATGGGTAATTCAATTTCTCATTTTAAGCCTTTGTTGGCATAACAGCTCTATCAGCTCTATCAAGTTCCAAATATTACTGTATTCAAGTGTATTTGAACCTCAAATAGAAATTGCAGGTATTTTACTATAGTATGAGAGGTAAGATTATTAATTGGCTTGTTTGAAATATTAACATTTACCTTAATTTAATAGCTCTCTATATGCATAGCTAGCATGTTAAAAAAATATATCACTGCAAATTGATTTAACAGTATAAGAACAATCTGCAGCACTCATGAACAGCAAATTTGTCAACAGGGGGGTAACATACATTGCATAACACAGGCAGCACTACACACATGTATCATATACAACACCAGAAGTGGGTGAGAAACTGTAGTGCTGTAAGAAACCTGGATACTAGCAAAGCTGAAGTATTGAGGGCTTTTAACACAATCAAAACTTGTCTATAAAGGTGTGTGAACTGGAGTCCATTAACTTACACATCTTCCGTAGTGCTGTCTACTTCTCTATAGGACTGGTAAAATTGCCATGGAATTATTGCAGTCTTCAGTTCCTGGGGAATTAAAGGGTGTCCAAAGTTAGAGAAAATACGAAGGAAAGAAACTAGGCAAAGTAAAAAGGTTACAGAATGCACAAGCACTTAATTTACTCAGAGAAAGTCTTTGTGGGGCTATGTAAATAGTAAACATGTTTAGACAAGATAAGGAAGGAGTTTGCTATTGTACAGGGAAAGGTGAGGGAGATGCTTTGAATCCAGAAGATGGAAAAGTAGAATTGTCATAAAATCATTTGAATTGGAAGGGACCTTGAGCAGGGACAGCTATATCTGGTACTCAGTAAAGCTTGGCCTTAAATGTCTCCGGGGATGTGGCATCTGCCATCTCTCTGGGCAGCCTGTTCCAGTGCTTCACTGCTCTTATCATAGAAAACTTTATTTTTATATCCAATATAAATCTTCCCTCTTCTAGTTTGAAATAATTTCTCCTTGTCTTATTGCAACAGACCTTGCCAAAAAGTCTGGCCCCTTTTTTCTTATAGCCCCCCCATGGAGCTGTGAGGGAGAGGGTGGGAACAAGCATTGTCTTCTATTTGGTTTATATTGTGTTCCTTTCCATCAGTGGCTAGTAATAGATTTGGCAAAAAAATAAACTACTTGGTGCTTACTGTTAGAGGTTTATCAAATCAAAGACACAGTGGGATTAATAGGGAAGAATATCGTATTGACAGGGAGCACTGCCAAAATCCCACAACATTTCTCCCAACTCAAACATGTTTTACTTTGTGGATATAATCTTCTTAAAGTGTTAATTCTGCCTTTCATGCTCTTATTAATTTAGGTAGCTGTTGAGAGAGCTCTGTGAATGCCTGCTGAATTTCCAAAAATATGATTTGCTCTGTGGAAGCTCTGCGCTAATATTACATCCCCAGTATTGGTGAAGTTTTGGCATAGAACATCTGCTGTGCTTTCTGAAGTGCAACACCTCCAGATCATCTGTTTCAGCAGACCAGATTATCACTAGTAGAGTTTTTAATAAGAACGGTGTTACAGGGAAGCATCTGTAACATTGCCTCCTTTCTAACTAGAACATTGAAAAAAGGAGTTGCTTCTGCATCTGATGCATGGAAGAATGCCATACTACTGTCATGAAGCATTGGGGTCACTAATTGTTGGGCTGTATTTTTGTAAACGCTCAATGGGTTTGCCTGTGTTTTCTGCTTAGAGTTCTGGCACATGAATGCTACATCACAGAAGTTTGTTGTAAAGCCGAGGCACAAAAGAAGGAGAAGGCAGGTATGCACCAATGTGCTTGTTTATAAGCAATATGCTATCTATCAAGTTTGTTCTATGTCTGCTGAACTGTTTCATCCAGATGGAGTCCTGTTGCTGCTCCTGGACTGGCACGAGGTCTTTATGTATGATATAGCTATAACAGAAAGTGGTATCTAATGTTGACAAGGGATTGCTGGACTCTCTTGTACAGTGCCTACCTGAATAGTTAAGTGCTTATGTTGTCACCTTTCATTAAGGTGCCACCACAATGTCAATTTCAAGAGAATTTTTGGGTACACTATGATATGTGTGTGTGTGTGTGGCCAAAGCACAGCAGACCCTCTCCATTACATTCATAAAAGCACAAGCTATTTCCTCACATAGGCTCCATTTAATCTGTTGCTGAATCTCAAGAATAGCATTTCTCTCAGTATTATAAAATTTTGAAACACCGCTAAATTGCACATGGAAAAAATAATAGATAAAATATTTTATCCTATTGTGGATATGTATTTTTTGAGAAACTCCTGACTAATGAAACATTAACAGATCACTTTTATGTTGCAATGGTGACAAGTACCTATTTTATCTTCCTTTGTTTTAAAACAAATATTCTAAAGCGATATTTCAGTCTCCATTTTCTTAAAGGGGAGAAGAAATTAACTTATATTTGTACCTTGGAAAGACAGAAACAATTCTTTGCTTTAGGAATGGAGCTGAAATAATGGTACAGGTCAAAATAGAGCTGGCTCAAGGGCCTGAACAGTGCTGGCAACATCAAACAGAGAGCAGTGAGAAGGGAAGATGACTTTCTCTCTGACTAATGTAACCATCTCAGATTGAGAAAAGAAGTGAGAAAGAAACTGGAAAAAATCCAAAAATCATTCATGAGGATCTTATTTTACATTAGGTGGTTTGCTGTCTTTCTTTAAATTAGCCATTACTCTGCATTTTGAAATCATAATGATGTAATAACTCTTCTGGAAAAAACCATGGAGAAGCACTGTCATAAATGTTTCTAAATGCAGTGTGTGAGATGGAGGTGGGTACTGCATTCACTGTATGAATCAAGCAGTGCAATAAAAAATAGCTTAGGAAGGATTACTTTTTCAGTGAAATAGAAAGTTTATATATGTGGGCCTCGCTGAGAATTGTCTTTTAAAAAACCTAAACTTGGAATTTATTGGATTAAAATGCTTGATTTCATTGTTTAAGCTCAAACAAGTGTTCCAGAGGAGGTGAAGTACGAGGACTGTATATTTGAAAAAAACCCCAGTCCATTCCTTTTCACCCTCCACAAAATATCCCAACCAGTTACACAGTAAATATGTTTACTCATTTTTACTGCAAATCCAGACAAAATTGACAAACGTGTAAACCTACAATTGTCTTCATAGGGTACAGCTAAGGATTTTTTTACTGTGGCATAATTAATCACAAGAAGTATTGTCAAAATCTAAAAGAGGAATTAAGACAATTAACAAAAATATGTGAGAAGCTTGTTTGCTGAAACTGTTTCTAGTTACCAGTTATACTTTCTCTGTATTCTGCCATCACTAGGCTTTTTTATGGTTATATTCTCTCTGTAGGTTCGTCAGATTCCACGTAAAATTGAAGAAGAAACAAAATACATTGAGTTAATGATTGTAAATGATCATCTGATGGTAAGGCTGGCGTGCTTATCTTATGTTTACCAGTAGAATAAAATTGTTTTAATTTTCGTATGTGTTAAATAGTAAAGAATAACATATGGCCAGAATAAGTGCAGTGTCCTTAAGAAAAAAGATTCACGTTGATAGAGATGTCTGAACAATAGCAAGATGATTTCACCAAGAATACAAGCAGTCCTACATATCAGAGAAAGCATCATAAATTAAAGCTTTGCATCAAAAGGTAGCTAATGAAAATGGGGCTTAAGTTGATGGCTTTCTTTCAGACTTTCTTCAGCACTTGTTTTCAGTGCAACAGCTCGGCAATCACTAATGTAATCATTGACTTTGTGCAGTGGGAAGATTAATATTGACTAGATTTTTTTGATACATCCGAATAAATTTAGAGAAATGTGTTTTGTTAAGCTTGAGTACTTTCTTAGGGAAAAACATAAATGGGCTCTCTAATGTAGTGGAAAGAAGCATAAGAAGGCTTAGAGTATTGAAGAAAAACGGGGCTTAGAGAAGCGCAGATTTATGTCAGTGAAGTTCATTATTAATTAATAAAAGGCGTAGCAAAAGAAATGATGAACTCTTCATCTCTCACACTCTTCAAATATGAACAGGGTACTTCTTGAAGATGTGTTTGTTTCAAACACAAATGGTAGGATTTGATCCTGAAGCAACTAGGTAAAGCTCAGAGACCAGTGATGCCCCTCAAACTGCTGATTTTATTTATTAGGCAATTTTATGATTCCTTATGGTTTTGAGATCAGTGTGTCTATGCATTTTGTCAGTCCTTTTTGCAAGGTACAACTTCTTTCTTTTACTCAAACTGGCAAAATCAGACAATAGGAGTCTAACAGGAATTTATCATTCTTATTAGACAATTTTAGTGATACCAACATACTCTTGTCAGCTCAGTTTGGTGAGAGTAGCAAGAACTTCTTAGATTAAAACAAACAATAAGAGATGCTGAATTCTCTGAAGTATTATGTTTATCCTGAAGACCTGAGGCTGCAACATTTCCACTGGGACCTCGTTTGTCTGGAGACAGTGCTTCCTAATTTTTGGTTAATTATTGGCAATGCAAGAATCAGCCAACTTAGAAGTTTGTTCTCTGAAGAAAATGTCTTTGAACATCTGTAATAAGCTACATAATTTCATTCCATGAAGAGGAGGTGTGCTTTCAGCTCATCCCTTACCCTATGGCACATAGGCGTGTTTTGCACATTCTTTATGTGCACAGTAGATGTGGCACTGCAGGTGGACTCAGCCAGCAGCTCCCAGGTCCAGGGACACCTCCATTTATTTTGTATATCCATTTCATCTTTTATACCATTTTTAGCTTTGCAGTCTTGTTCTTCTGTTATTCTAGTAAGTTAAACTTCCTCATTTTTTGGTTTTTTTTCTCTCCATTCCTGCTCATAAACCTTCCTTTCCCACCAGCCAACTGCCTGACACTTCTTACGCACTAAAAGATCCCAACTTCCAGAAAACGTTCCCTCCAAAATCAAGCATCTTGGGACACAAGATGGTCAAACATTTCTGAAAATCTTTGCCTTTAAGTCCTGAATTCTTCTAAGGTACTTGTGACCTTCATACTCATGGTGCTCATTTATGTCTGTGTTTCTGCAGACAAGAGTACATGAAAAAGTATCTTCAGTAGTAAAAGAGGTTAACAATTGATTCCTGTTCCTATAGCATTTTTTTTTCCACTGAAGATCTTAGAATGCTTTCCTTATAATAGTTATGAAATGTGCATTCAGCACAAGAGACCGAACCATACACAGAGGCTCTCCTGTTGGCATAGTTCTTTTTACTTAGTGGGCTTTTTGGAAAAGGAGCTTGTTTTTCTAAATCTATACTTGTAATTTATCTGTGTTTGTTTTGCAGTGTAAAAAGCACCGCTTATCAGTTGGCCACACAAACAGCTATGCTAAGTCAGTTGTGAACGTGGCAGATTTAGTAAGTATCACTTGACTGAATGTTCTTTTACGCATGAGATCATCATATGATTCTCCTTCTGATAAATCAGGAGCTGTTATTTCATGGTGTACCTAGTAACAACAAATGCAAAGATTACCAGTTTTCATCTACAACTGAAGTCAGTCATGTCAGCCTTTGTCTAAAATAAAGCATTAGAGATTTTTTTTGTGGCATTTAAGTGTCCTTTAACAGATAGATCTCGAGTTGGAAGTTCAAAGGGAATCTTAGATATGATAGTTTTTAACACAAGCTTATAAGTTGTCTACCTGAAACCTAAAAAATTATCAGAATTAGAATACACTAAAATATCTCTTAAAAAAAAAAAAAGAAAAATGAAAATCATTTGAGTAATGAGTTAGAATAGGGACATACAAATGGATTATGTGGATTATATTTTTGATACTAAGCAGGATAAGCTGCTGGCTCTTACATCTCATTCTGGAAAGGCATTACTAGAAAAAAGAAGAATGTAGTTCCTACTCTTGAAATGTGGAGCATTAACCCCCAATATTGAATGTATGGCTGCTGGTGAGAGGTTAAATACTCCTGTAGAGGTGAACGGCAGTGAAAACAAAAGGTTTTTTTTGACGTAAGAGATATCTCTTGTGTCCCTGAAGTGAGCTGGACAATGTAAGATGCCCGTTAACCCCAAATCTTTGAATTGTTTGAGAAGCTTCTGTAGCATTGTGTCAAAAACCTCACCTCTGTTCTATGATCCTCTGCCTGAGCAGGACCTCAGGGGGGTTTTTCTGTGGAATAAGAGAGGGGATAGAAGAATTAGACCTAAAATCTAGATATTACTTTCTTTTCATGTTTGTTGTTGCTTTTAAGGGAGACAAAAGCACCTGGGGGAACCTAAAGAGTGTTAGAACAAGCTAAATATTTTGTCATATAAGAATGAAACCTGTTACAAAGAAGGGGTAAACCTCACCTTCTTTCTCCTTGATGTAATCTATTTGTTCGTTCTGTTAATGTACTAGATATATAAAGAACAGCTTAACACCAGGATAGTATTGGTTGCCATGGAAACCTGGGCTACTGATAACAAGTTCACCATATCTGAAAACCCCTTGGTGACCCTGCGTGAGTTTATGAAATATAGGAGGGATTTTATCAGAGAGAAAAGTGATGCAGTTCACCTTTTTTCGTACGTAATCTCGTGTGATGTTTTCTTACTGTTTCTTTTCCTTTCCTTGGGGGTTGCTTATCACGAGTGCCTGACGCGTCTCCTTTCTGTTGTGTGTATAACCCACAATAATAAAGAAAATAACATTTCTGAGGGGAGGTGGGAAGAAGTTAAAACAGCACACAGTGTGCTTGCCAGTGCAACCAGAGGTTTTGCTCCCCTTTTAGTTTTAACATATTAAGCTTGGGCTGCATGCACTGTAATTAATTCCTGGCTGTCCTGTGCAATTACCTGTTCTGTGAGTGCAGGAGGGTGATGCATGGTTCCACCTTGTACATTCACTTCTTTAGTAGTAGAGCACAGGCAGCGCTGTTGAACTGTGTAAAAGCAGAATATTGGCTTTAAAACCCATGAGCTTTCCTGCTTAAGAAGCACTCTGGTCTGCCTTGCTCTGTTGAATGACTTGCATGCTGCAGGATTACTGAAAGGAGCATTGGATCCTCAGAACAGTCTGTCCTTCAGAAAGACATATGATATAAGAATAATAATCTGGAAGGAATTTTATTATTTCTAAACCTCTAAATTACTTTGATAATAGGATTGATGTAACAAACTATATCTAAAAAATAACATAGACACTCTTGATAAGATTTTTATCCCCAAGAGACAGGCCAGGTAGATTGTTCTGCTTGGAGCCCTTACCCCTCTCTGCTGAGAGATAGGAAGCTATATGAACAAATTTAGCTTTAACTCCTCATTTTCACATGACTCCAGTAGGGAACCACTATCCAGCCTCTCGGAGTTTTTTGCACATGCTTAATTACTGTCACTGCTTTCCTATGTGAAGTTAGATCCCTAAGTGTTACTTGTACATTTTAGTTTGTCAGTGTCTCGGTTCTTCATCTGTAAAATGGGAATCATTTTTTTTCCCCCACATCTTTCTTATTCCTTTTATGTGAAGTTGTAAGGTCTTTAAGGGACACAGTAACAGTCTCCCTGTGACAGGGACACTGGATAACATTGTAATACAATTTCCAGTGCTACATGTAACACCATTGTCACTGGTATTCAAGATATTGTATTTGTAGATTACTTAGGGAATACAGTTCTAAAATTGTGTCCTTGAGTGAAGTATGGCTGAGTGGGAAGGGCGAGTGACTGCTTGACTGCTCTGGCAGCACACCAGTTAAAAATCAACTTCCACTTTCAGCACAGTTAGCCCATTGTGTTATGTTTCATGTTGTTTTTCTGTTTTCCTTTGAGAAAACCAATGTGCATTGGCTTGGCTGGATCAGTACTTCTAAAGTGGTGCAGAGTATCTTTTGTCTCCAGTAACTGGCAGTGATTCATACTGACTTGGTCAACATCAAAGGCATCATTAAATTCAGGCTTACAGTGCAGCTGCCACCTGGATGAGATCAGTTGCAGTTCTGGGGAGTTCTGACCCATCAGGGAGCCACAAGGCATCTCTCTTTCTTTTTTGCCACATCTGCATTGCTTAACTGGACATGTGTCTTCTTCCCGGGCCCCCCACTGGAAGCACAGCGGCCTCTCTTGCACTCTGTAGCATGCACCAAAGCAGTGTCGAAGTGTGGACTTAGAAAACCACTTGCTAAAGTATGACTGACCATAGAATGGTTTGGGATGGAAGAGACCTCAAAGTCCATCCAGTTCCCACCCCTTGCTATGGGCAGGGCTGCTCCCCCTCTAGCTCAGGCAGCCCAGGGTCCCATCCAACCTGACTTTGAGCACCTCCAGGGATGGAGCACTCACAGCTTCGTGGGCAGCTGTGCCAGGCCTCACTTCTGCATATGAACAAAAGTATGGTGAGATAGGAAATCTTGTCTTATGCTTTCTTATATTAGGTAATGTGAGAATGAGGAGGGAAGACGGTTAAATTTTTCTGGAGACTGTCTGTCATGTGAGTTTTGTGAGTGTTTTCTGTGATTCTCATTTTATTTTTGCATAATTTTTCAACATAGTGATGGGACCTGACATTTGCTCGTTTCTCATTTGAAAATAAGATAAATACTAGGATAGGTAGGTGCAAAACTTGTGGGATGAGCAGGGTAAACTTTCTTTTATGTTCCTTTTTGTCAAAGGGGGAGTCGATTTCAGAGCAGTCGAAGTGGTGTAGCTCACACTGGTGGAATCTGCTCCTTGCTTAAAGGCGGAGGTGTGAATGAGGTAGGTGTGGGTACTGGGATGGATGAAGAATGGTGGAAATTTGTCTGCAGGGAATTTATCAGTGCAGTTCCTCAAAATATCTTGCTGCTGCTTTGCTGATGCAGAGCCTTAGCACTGCTCTGTGGAAGTCTTAATGAAGAACAGAACATGAATAAAGTTGGACATGGGCTCAAATACACTTTCCAACAGTGTAATTTTTGCAATATCCTGTCATTCATACTTGTGACTACAGTAACAAAAAAGAAGCAGACTTTCTTAACTTACTTGTAAGCCAACGTTTAGTCTTCCGCACATGTTTGTTTTCCTCTGAAGTAATTACTTTAACATTATGAATCTCATTTTGCCTTTTATTGCCTTTAAATGAAAAAAGCTTTGGCTGTGCCTGAGATTATAGAAACATAGTGATCATTTTCAACCTTAATGATTCTAAGATCACCAAGTCCAATTGTCAACCCATTACCATCAGGCCCACTAAACCATGTCCCTCAGTGCCACATCTGCACGTTTCTTGAACACCTCTAGGGACAGTAATTCCACCACTTTCCTGGGTAACCTGCTCCAATGCATTACCCCTCTTTCTGGGAAGAAATTTTTCCTAACATCAAACTGAGCTTCCCCTGGAGAACCTAAGGCCATTACCTCTTGTCTTAATGCTAGTTATCTAGGAGAAGAGGCCAACTACAACCTTGCCACAGCCTCATTTCAGGTAGTTTAGAGAGCAATAAGGTCACCCCTGATCCTCCTGTTCTCCAGACTGAACAATCCCAGCTCCCTCAGCTGCTCCTCACAAGACTTGTACTCCAGACTCATCTCCAGCTTTCTTGCCGTTCTCTGTCTGGACACACTCCAGGGCCTCAATTTCTTTGTTGTAGTGAGGAGCCCAAAACTGAACACAATGCTTGAAGTGCAGCCTCAGCAGTGCTGAGTATGGAGAGAGATACGTGTACCTAACTGATTACTCTTCCTACCTTACTTACTTCTTTCAGTTTGGAAAGCCTGACTTAATGGCAGTTACCCTGGCACAGACATTGGCTCAAAATATTGGCATTTTCTCAGACAGAAGAAAACTAATAAGTGGTAAGTTTGTATGCTTTTTCACCTCCTCTCAAGAGAAGATTTTAACAAGAGAATCTTACCACTGTCTCTCTGACATGTTCTTTTGTAATGTTTCTTACAATGTTGGAATACTGTTACTTCTAATAAAATGAGGAGACACTACCATTGGTTTACCTCTATTTAAATGTCACAATTTCCCCCTGCCCTAATTGTTGGTAGCACTGGTGCCATCATTTTGTTAAAAATAAATTAAAAAGGTGTCTATCACCATTCATTTCAGGGAGATTGATGTAACACCCACAAACTGAATGGCTGCTATGCTGCAGTGTGGAGGTAGAGAGACAGACATTATTAGACTCAGGGATGATGATTAGCCCCCTCAGTCCTGTTACGAAGGATGGATTTGACAACGTATCTCTTTCCCTGTCTGCCTTAAATGAATTCCTCTTCTATATTACCCTAATCTCCTGTATTTATCACTCTGCTGCTGCCATTTATCTACTATTTGTAACCTTGCGTTTCAACTTCCTAATAGCCTGTTAACCTGCAGTGCTTTAATTCATCAGTCCTCTATCCCCACAAGCAGCTCTTTCTCCCTACTTTCACTAAACAACATTAGTACTGTGCTTTTTTAAGTGGCATATGACAATTCATTGCGCTGAAAGTCTTACATTTAAAAACATAGTTACAATATTGACTAACATAAATGTTTTCATGGATTTTGTTTTCAGACGTTGTAGAGACAGTACATAATGCAGAGGTACATCTGCAAGCAAAAGTTATTGCAGTGCACATAATTTTATTTTGAAAAATACTCCAACACGTAGGATGCTCTGTGCTACTTACATATTCAGTATTCATTTTCTAGCTGCATGTTATTAAACTGCTGTAAGGAAAAGGGGAAAATAGTAAAATTGCTGGGTCCTATCGATTCTCTTATTGACACTGAAAATTTGGCAATCAAATATAATGACATGGGAGAAGGTGGCAGATCTGCCTTGTGATATGCAAGTGCTGGAGGCTGACTGCAGTTTCCTCTGACTTCACTTAAGGGAAGGAAAAAAACATAGAGCATGTTTTCAAGGTGCAGGATTACAAAGAATCATGCATAGATTTTGAAAGAAGGCTCAGTGTGCACTGACACACTTAAATTAAGGTGTGCAATAAAAGAACAAATGATTCTTTTCAATTTATATTTAAAACTGCAATAGAATTGATTCCAATGTGATTTTTGTGATAAGAAATGTACTTTGGACTCTCAAGATTCAAGATGTAAATTTTACTTTGTTGTCAGGTGAGTGTAAGTGTGAGGACACCTGGTCTGGATGCATAATGGGAGACACAGGGTAAGACATTCACTGGAGAGAGGTCATGTCCTGCATACAGTGCCATAAAGAAAAAGCATGAAAATGTTTGTATTTTGCATTTCAGTGGAATTTTTTCTGTGAATTATTATTTTTCAGAAAGCAAACTATTACCTACGAAATATACTTAGAATAGACACTTATAAATATGTGAATAAGTAACTTAATGAGAGGATATAAGGATTTTTAGTAACAACTGGTTTCACTTGCAGTGCTCAGAAGCTCAACAGCCAAGCCAGGTTCTGCAGAGGAGCAGAACCATGTTTCGCTTCTTTTCTTTCATGAGTTTGCTGCTGAATTGTGGAAACAAAGACACATCAAAATTCCTAAAATACTGTGCTCAAATTCCTTGCCCATGTCTCATTTTTATTACTTCTACTGCAGTCTTTCATTTTTCATCCTACAATTTATATGGTAATGCTAGAAAAAATGCTCCCATGGGAGGTTTGATATTCTCATGCTCACATAAAATAGTCACTGAAGAGATTTTATGTGAGGACTACTGAATTTGTAAATTTCTGCTGTTAGCTGAAATTGATGATGCTTCCTAGTACGTGTATTCAGAACTTAATTCTCCATATTACAAACCTGTCTTCATACATATAAATTAAACAAGAGTCTATATGAGATACAGATAGTACTCCAAATTTGTAAAGCAATTTTGCTCTCACTTGCAAATTTCACAGTTGCTTTGTGGCAAGAACTATTTTGAACAATATAAAGCATATTTCATTCAAAGTACTGAAAATATCAATGTGTGCCTTTTTTTCACTTTGTGTACCTAAAAGCAAACTGTGTAAGATTTTTCTGATTTTCAATATGACAGAAAGCCAATATGGAGAGACATTCTTGATTCTTCTAAAAAAAAAAAAAAAAGCTTCCTTATCTAATGGCCTTTAAATTCTTTATTTGAAGTCTGAACCTTTAAAATAATTAGGCATACGACAAATATATGCACTCATAGCTTATTATTGAACAGTGCGAATTCCACATTCTCTGCAGTCTTTAGATCTAAATCATAAACACTAGAGACTGTAAAGAACAATTATGTTTTGCAGATTATCATTGTTGGCAATGCAGGATTATTTTATGATGTACTTCTGCTAATATTTTGTTTTATCTAGTCCTGAACCGATACTAAGAAGCCTTTGAGACTCCAAAATCTGTTTGAAGCATAGGTACTTAGCATAGGACCTAAATATAAAGATCACTTAAGTCACCTTAGGAAGAACTCTTTCCCTGTGGAAAGGAGCAATTCAAAGTCTTTTTGCATTGGTTAAAGCTCAGATTGGTATTAAGTGCAACTCAGATTGGCAATTGGTACTCAAATGAAATCCATTCCATGGGGCACAAGAGAGAAGGAAGCTAAAATGTTAGCTGATGTTTGCTAGAAGCACATTTAAACATGGCATAACTGTATTATATAAAAAAATCAGTGGGCCAAGAGAGCAATTTCAACTAAGAGAGGAGTGAACTACAAGCAATCTTTAAAAGGGCCACGTGTGAGAAAGGCAGCTGTTGTCCACTGCAGAATGTACGGGAAGAAATAACTATTTCTGAAACAGGCCCTGTAGTGGAACTGGTCATATCTGTGAGAACCACACAGTGACTGTTAGGATTGATGATATTTGGCATAAAATAACTTAGTGGAAACTTTTTGTCTTCTCACTGTACATGAGCTTTGTGTAATTGTTGAAAGATGTTTCTCATTTACTAAAATTATTTAAAATTTAAAGAATGTTGCAAGCAAATATCTTCCATCTGATTCTGAGCAGTGTATTTTTAGCAGCTTTTCTAAAATATATTACACTTGTCCTCCTCTTATTTTGAACAAAGAAAATGTACTATAAAAAGCACTTATTTCTTTGTAGGTATTATCTACCAAGCAAGTTCTCCAAGTGTGATATTGAAGAGTATCACGAATTTTTAAACAACGGAGGTGGAGCCTGCCTTTTCAATAAGCCAACCAAGGTAAGAATCACCTTATTCTTGAATATTTTTTCTGTGAGAATTATAACTTAGATGAAATCAAGAAGAGTGAAGGACTGGTGTCTTTGGGCAAGAATCCTTGGAAGATGAAGAATAATTTTCTTTCACATCTGTTCCAAGATCTAGACACTCTGCAGTAGGGGGAGCACAGCTGTGCAACCACGATTGGTTACAGGTGGTTGTGGTAGTTGTCCTCTTGGGAAGAGGGAACAGTTTTCACAGTGACTTTGAGAAACGATTTTGAAAACTGGGACTAATTTTTTTAATACTGGAAGAGGCAGAGCAACAGAGTGAGCCCTGAGAAGCAGGGAGCAGATGCGATGGAGCTGCTGGGAGGGAGCTGCACAAGCATCAGGGCTGCCTGAATGGCTGATACATCCCCTCCATATTTGCCTGTTAAGAATGAAATTGGAGGTCTTGCTGCATGAGTACTGGAAATGAAATGTAGTGGGGAATATCTCCTTTTCTTTGCCTCTTGTGTCTGAATTTTTTACCAGCTAAACAGCTTTATTCACAGGGTGCGTGCGAAGACTACAAAATGATGAACTGAGACATTTCAGGGAAATAAATGCAAAGCAGGGCTAAGGAAACTGCAGCCAAGATGTAAGCAGTTCTATGATGTAGGATTTGCAGCAGGGTTTCAGTATAGATCTGCTCCGTTTACTGACGCGCATGTTAATGTGTAAATTAATTAGAGTAATCTTGAGTCTTTTCTACGTATAATTAATATTATCCCCTATTTAATGGCTGTATTTTAAAAAAGCAGATGAAAGAGGCTAAGACAGAAAGACAGTACCACATGGAAAAATTGACTTGGTGGCTGAGGTGGCCACAATGCAAAAAGAAAGACAGTTCTGGGGTACATCTGGATAAACTGTGTGCTTATCTCTGAAATGTTATCTCCTTTTCATGGAATAACATAGAAAAGTAAGGAGAAAGCGCTGTAATTGAGTAAGAAGTTGCAAGGTTTCTCATTCTTTAAAATGTTCCTACATTTCAAAAGTTTGTTTTTTCCAAGTTTATTGCAGACAGAGAGTAATGCTGATCATTTTATTACTTTGCTGAGTGGATTGTTTCCATAGTGTAATGCTTTCTTACTTGGGCTTGCTTTAGTGATTGTGTTCATTTACCCATCTGTCACTCTGAAAAACACAATTACTCTGATCTCAATTTAGATTACTGGCATTTGCAATTTTTTCTAGTGGCATTTGAAAATGTGAAAGTCAGATGCAGAAGCCAGGGTGATTTAGACTCTTTCTGTATTGCTGTTCGGGTTGTGTTGAGGTTATAAACAGTGGATGTCTGTCTACTTCACAAGGCTGCCAAGCACACGTGCTTCCTAGTAAGGGTGGTGAAACACCAACTTGTGGTTTTCAAGAAACATGAGATGTGTCAAAATGCAGCATTCAACAGTGCTCTGTTGTGAGATCAGCTGTGACTGCCAAAATCAACTCCAGGAGCAGATTGACCATAAGCTCTTTTCAAGCAATTAGATGAATTATGTAGTGTCTTTTGGGGATAAGTTATGCAATTTGCTTCCAGTTTTTGTTCTTTTATTTCACGTTTAGTGGTGCCAGTGTACTGCAGGAAACTGGCAAATGTCTTACGCTGGGTTCCTCTCTCTGTGCCATCTGCTTGTCTGTATTGAGCAGCGCAGTTAGAGATGCCGAAGAAGTTAAGATATCTGGAAAAATAAGAAACGAGCAGTTTAAAACAACTCTTCAATAATCGTGACAGATAATTGCTTGCTTATATGTAATGTAATTGCATATTGCAGTCAAATTTCCATTTCAGTGGGGGATCTAATAGTAGCTGCCAGCATGTGCTGCAAATGGTGGGCTGGTTTGTGGCACCGAGGCGGCTGCAGGGTGATGCTCCATCCTGTGGGCTGCAGAGAAGCAGCAGCCAGAGAACCACTGTACACCACCAGCAGTGTGTTTGTGCAAGTGGCTCACGAGTAGGGTGGTTTCTAGAATGATCCTTGTTTAAGAGATGAACTCTAATTTAAACTAACTTGGAAATGCACTTCTATACCTTCTCCTTCATGTAATAAAAGCCACAATGATGTTTTCCTATGCTCAAAAGGAAAACTTTCTTTCGTTTTGGGGAGAGTGCTGAGGGGTGGGAAAGGACAGTGTTACTACAAACATGCAGATTTTTACATTTTAAGTTTTAGTTTGGTGGGGAGACTGAATGGAAAAGGAAGGGAAGAAGTCTTACCAGCTTCACTTATCTGCCTGTATCACATGTTGCAAATTCCCAACTGTGATAGTTGAAAAGAAAAGGAAATAACAACCAACTGTTGCAAAAACTGGTGAAAAATCCCAGCCTCTCCCCTTTCCCTGCATTTCTGAGCCATCTGGCCTCAAATGACTTCATGGTTATCCTTTCTGAAGGTATATTGCAGTATTCAAGCCGGGGCATATGATTCCAGAATAATTGAGTTACAACTCCTGTTATGATAATGTGGAGTTGTTTCACAAGTTGTCTTTTACTGTCACACCTTTTGTTTTTAATTATGACTTCTGCTCAGACTGAATCTGCTGTAAAACGATGGTCTGACACAGAACACACCATGTAACTCAGTGTAACTGCTGAGTTAGATGTTGTTTGGTCTCTGCACATTTCATTTGTATTGTTTCTGCTTCTCTCTCAGTTTGGCACCGTGTTTTGGTTAACGCATTTGGAATATTAACTGAAAAAACGACAGTTGTGGAATAAATATGACAGTGATTCTCTTCAATTTCTGATTATGCACTGCAGCTTCTGGATCCTCCAGAATGTGGCAATGGCTTTGTGGAAGATGGAGAAGAATGCGACTGTGGGACAGCGGCAGTAAGTGCAATGTGCTTTAAATTAGCAGCAAGGTCCTCTAGCTGCCCATCACTGCTCGGGATTAAGTGGAAGAAGACATGCAGTGCTAAGGTCCTGAGGCAAAAAAAATTCTTCAATTCTCACATTTTTCCATCATGTTTGGTACAACATAGGCCAGCTATAAAACAGAAATGTTTTATCACCACTTCAGTTCTGAAGAGTAATAACAATAGCTACCTATGCAAAGACAGTCCTTAAAAATGATGAAGTATAACCTGGTCAGTGCTACAATTTCAGAACTTGGTGAGCAACATTGTGGAATTAGGAAAATGATTTCCTATACTGCATAGCAAGCAGCAATTTCATACTTCACAGTGCAAGCTGTCTTCTGCCTCCAGGTGCCTAGCAGCCTGGTGAAGAATCTGTCCATAGACAGATGTCCATAGACAGGTAGCATGCTAAGAAAGAATGTGAGAAATATGGGGCTCATCTGTTTTTCTTGAATGTTCTGCTACAAATGTCTGTGTTCCTCAGGAGTGTGCCAGCGAAGGAGGAGAGTGCTGCAATACCTGCACGCTGACAGCAGGCTCCCAGTGCAGCAACGGGCTCTGCTGTCGAAAGTGCCGGGTAAGGGCATCATCCTGGCAGTGATACAGGCACCACAGCATCTGTACTTCTTGTCTCTTCTTAAAACAGGCTGGAAAATGATTTGTCCAGGGCTTTTTGCTGTGTTTTAGTCTTGGCTTCTTCAGTTTGAGAGTATGATTAGAAGTGGAGAAGAATCAAAGCCTTCTGGCTGAAATAATACGTGCACAGGCTTATTCAGGGGCCACTCCCATAATGCCTGCTGTGTTGTTCTGTATTTGTGAGGCTGAATGGGAAAATCGTACCACGAATGGCCTGAGAGAAGACGTGATTTAAAAAAGTCAAAAGAGCTGGCAGCAGTATTCAGAAATGTTCATCTAAAAGACACCTCATTTCAACTTAGCTATGAGTCCCCTCGTGTTTGTGCTGACTGAAATCCCATTGCGTAACACGAATCGAGTCCTGTGTAAACTGCAAGATATTCTTCCTGATACATCCATAAATAATAAAAGAGATCTAGCCAGGTCTTGGCTGCAAGGGAGCCCGGACAAATTTGACTTCAAATAGTTGTTGACGCTCATTTAATAATAATGACAATTATTATTAATGATGCTAACACCATGGTGGTGTACTATGTGTGATATTTTTATCTTCATCATTTGAGGGTTTCATTTCCTCAGGAGGATCATTATTAACTGCAGACCACATTCTTGATTGTGCTCATCCTAATGGTAAAAAGAAAATGCACAGATTAGGCTGGAACAGATCACATTTGCCTAAGGACATTCCTTTTTTTTTAATGTAATATAAAAAAAATCAGCAGATTGCCAGTGTGGGTGGATTTTGTTCAAGTATCCAAGTCACATGGGCACCACATTGAAGAATCTTAGAAAAAGAATTAAGCTTTTGTGTACCTACATTATTTCTGCAAGTGAGATAAGGGCTTGTCTATGTAGAGAGCAGGGAGCGTGAGCAGAAAGGAAGCATTCTGTAAAACTTACATCCCTAGGAACTATTAATCAGGACAACTCAAAGGACTTTTTACTAGCAGTACCCAAACTTGAGGTTACTTTTTCCTGCTGAACTCTACCTGAAAGCAGGAGTGGAAAAGGGATTGCAAACAAAACACGGTGGGTGTACATCCCAGCATCTCATAGTATCTCTGACAGCATTGCTGTCTGCATCTTTCCAGAGACAAGTGGGTAAACCTAAACTTAAGGTTGAGAAAGTGCTAGAGTCTTGTCTTTGCATTGTCACATACTTGTTCACAACAGCCATAGAGTTAGCAGTTGTCCCAAACAAAACGTGTGTGCACATGCAGCAGAAAGCCATGCAGCTGTAGAATGAACTGGTTAGCTCAGGCTTAAGAAGCCTTCCAGGCAAAATAAGAGATCTGAAATACGTCCGTGACCAGAGGCACCAATGGTTGCCCTTATGGGATGCCTTCCTGCTTTTACAGGTCAGTGGCACAGTCTTAAATCAGATTGTAAATGTGTTTGTTAGGTCACACATTTGACACATGTTTTTTAGGGCTGACAACAGCAGGACTAGGGGAAATGGATCCAAGTTGAAGGAGGGAAGATTTAGGTTGGATGTTAGGGAGAAGTTCTTTACAAGGAGAGTAGTTAGGCCCTGGAACGGGCTGCCCAGGGAGGTTGTGGATGCCCCGTCCTTGGACGTGTTCAAGGCCAGGTTGGACGGGGTCCTGGGCAACCTGATCTGAATGTGGATGTTTGGTGGCCCTGCTAGGCAGGGGGGTTGGAACTACATGATCCTTGAGGTCCCTTCCAACCCGGGTGATTCTGTGATTCTGTCACTTGTTCATTTTTCATTCTTAAATCCCCATTCAATTAGAAATTGATGTCGAATCATACCTAATTCTGTATATTTATGAATAGTTTCTGTTCTACAGCAGAAATTTTTGTTATTTGTAATAACCATGATGATAATTTCTAGGGCATTATAGTCTTCTAGGTCTTAAAGGAATTCGCAAATATCAGTATCTTTCCCTCTGTGTTTTATTAAAACAAAAAAAGTCACAGACATGTGGAGGCCCTGGCCAGAATATGCCCCTGCAGTGTTGGTGTGACAGGTCCCTGGGGCCCATGGCAGCTCTCATCACCTGGGGGTGAGGTGATGGCTCAAGGAGCAGTTCCACTCACACCTGCAAACAGTCTGTGGCTCAGATGGTGCAATCAATGCCTGCCAGGGGAAGGAAAGCCTTCCCCCCTCATTCAGAACCTTACTATTTCCCATTCTTTATTTTAGTTAAAATGTGAAGAAAGTATTGCATTTAAGGCATGACATGGAGAAACCAAGATATTGATTTTGTGTCCTTTTTTTTTCAGTTTGAACCTAAGGGTGTTTTGTGTCGAGAAGCAGTGAATGATTGTGATATTGCAGAGAACTGCACGGGAAACTCCAGTCAGGTAATTTTTAGGTCTTATACCCCAGAAATGAAAAAAGTGCCTGTTGTATCTTGGTCAATATGAGTGTTACTTTTTTGTATGGTACAATGTATAAAAATTGTTATTAAAACTGGTGTAAGCTCAGAACGAAAATATGAAAATGAGATAATATTCTATATGCCACTTGTACTCTTTGTTTCCAAGCATTTCTGAATGATCTATTAGTTATTTTCTTTCTCTATAGTGTTCTCCCAATATTCATAAAATGGATGGATATTCATGTGATAACAGGCAGGTAATTATTTCAATTTCTTTTATGTTCTTAATGGTTTTATGGATTATATCTTATAGAGCTTGGTTTAAGAACTTTGGAATTCACCTTGGACAGTGTCATCAAATTCCTGTTTTTTAGGGTGCAGGTCATATTTTGGAGCTAAGCATTTAAGTAGGATTATGTTACTTGACTTGCTAGAAAATATAGCAAGTCTGTATATTTTGCAAATGCTTTTTTTTGTTTGATAAGCAAATTATTTGAAGTTGTTTCTATATATTTTCTTTCTTTTTAGGGCATTTGCTTTGGAGGAAGATGTAAAACCAGGGACCGACAGTGTAAATATATCTGGGGTGAAAGTGAGTAAATAATAAAGTTTCTAAGTTGGTTATCATTCATGTGGCTTGAAAAGTAATTTTTCCTGAGAAAAAATTATGGGAAAATGAATGCTCAGGCCCGTTGAAAACAACCAGGACTGCGTGCTGTGATCCAGAACTCTGCTCCATTTTGATTTTTGCCCATGAATTTTAGTTTTTCTTTTGAGTAATTTTGGTACTCCTAGAACTTTAAACTCAGTTTTAAACTTAACTTTATGCTTGTTTTTAACTTTGTTTCTTTCTTAGTTCCATGTTTTGTTTTTTTTTCTGTTGATGTTCTAGTGCTGACTACATCACCTACTTCTCCAAATAACACATCCTCTGCTCCTTTTTGTGGCATAAGCTATTCATCAGGCAGAGCTGTGACCTATTCTGAAATGTAGGAAAGATCAAAGAAATTGCAGTGGACACTCAGTAAGAAGAGCACAGTCCAGCATGTGGACTGCATGTCTCTCTTTGAAGACAAGGCTTCCTGAAATGATGCCCACTGGCTGTGCAGATTACTTTTGTCAAGCAAAGTGTGTATTTAGCTATCATTCAGTTAAAGCTTTGGCAGTTCAAACAAACCTGCATATGTGCAAGAACCACACATGCAAGAAGGGAAAAATGAGTGATTCTTTTGGTCTGGATGGTAATGTATATCATCTCACCAAGCACAGCATCTCTGCAGTTATTTTTCTATTGCTATGGCAGATATTTTCTACTGCCTTATGTTTGATTGGCAGTGTTCTAACTGTAAGAGAGATTTGATCATTTTATGATTGGGAAATAAGGAATTAGGTTGCATTGCAGTACAAAAAGGTGCCATTTACATACTCAATTGTGTTGAAAGCATACAGTAATTTCTACGTGGTCACATATAATACCTCTCTTGGACATCAGACATGTTACACATTTATATTAATAGCATGCAGACTGCAACAGTTTCAGTGGTATGTTTACAAAGGACCTCGGACAGGACAAAAGCTCTTTGAATGGCTTCATTATGTTGGGAGATTATAGGAATGCAGGCGTTGCTGAAGATGAGTTCCTTATGCATAGCACAGAAAGTTGAGTTTAGATTTGTTTTAGAGTTTGGCTCAAAAGTACTGATGGCTTTGGAAAGCCGATGCTAAACAGCGGGGTTACTTGGATGGTAACAATTCACCTGGAGGTTTCAGGGGAGCATCTCCCATCTAAACCTCTGGCACGTACTATAAGGATATTAAACCTTTGGTATTTGTGCTGAATGTGGTGCTTCCTAAGCAAGCTTTGCTGGTTAGCTTTGATGAAAAGAGACACAGAACACCTCCTCCCTCCACCTCACTCCTTTCTCCCCCTCATTTTGTTTTGCCCTCCTCTTTTTCAGCTCTTGATCTAGTATTGATTACCTTACTTGTATGAAACTGAAGTTTTACATTTAACTTCTTATTAACAACCTAGGGAACCTATAATGACATTTATTGACTAATTTCAGTGGCTTCTGGATATTTTGAGTCAATAAAATTGGTCAGTTATAACAAAAATTTTAAAAGAATCCTGTCAACAATTTTCTGTTCTTATTAAGAATATCTTGCAGAGTTCCCAAGCACATCTGCAGACCATGATACTGCATTTGACAGATTGGAAAGCTCTATTTACTATCATGGTGCATCCCTGTTTCCCAGGGCTTGGCTTTTCAAAGTCTTTATCACCTGAGAAGAGATTTGTTTCTGTTTCAGAAGTGTCAGCTGCTGACAGGTACTGCTATGAGAAGTTGAATATTGAAGGGACTGAGAAAGGAAACTGTGGAAGAGACAAGGACTCTTGGATACAGTGCAATAAACAGTAAGTTGATCCATTTAAAAACAGCTGGTGTGGGATTTTTATCCCTTCTTCAGTTCCCAAGGTTGCATGAAGAGACCTCTGTGCAGAAGCATGTCCTCTTTTTTCATTCTAATTCTGCTTACAGATCCTTTCCCAGCTCTCTGTGCAGATGTGGTAACCTTACTTTTGTTCCTTCACAAACTCCTAAGTGAAAAATATGCATTAACATGAGAAAGGCCTTACCCTCCTAGTCTCACAATGTGCAAGTCCCTGCATACAAGTTTAAAGTCGCTTTGAAAGTGTGTCTCTAATTCCTTAACATATGTCAGAGACCGCTTCTACTGCTTCTCCATGGGACAGCTGTTGAACCTTAACAGGATATTAAATCAATTTGATGTGGTTTGTTCTTGACAGTTCTTCATTTGCAGGGCATTGTTGATAATACATCACAAAAAAGCCTCATTCTCAGGAGAATAATTTTTGTGGGAAATAGGACATTATTTATGGCAGTTCTGTCAGTGAGAAAAAAGCAAAGAATAACAAATATGTTGCAAAAGCAAGTGAAGAAAAACACATTTTTGATCATGCATTTTTCTTGAATTTTCTTTTTTGTGAGTATCTGTTTATTCTCTCAATGCAGGGATGTGCTTTGTGGATACCTTCTGTGCTCAAACATATCTAGTGTGCCCAGACTTGGAGAACTTGATGGTGAAATCACTTCATCGGTCTTGCAGTTTGGTAAAGTCTACTCTTGCAGGTAATTGGAAATCCTGAAAATAGGGCTGTCAATATACATCTTGCCTGGAAAAGGATGTTTCTCATTCTGAAGTGGAGAACTGTTTACATAAAAAAAAAAATAATAAAAAGTGTCCCATGAAGAAGTAATGATTATTCCAGCTCAAACTTTTTAACCTTCTGAAACTTTATTGTGTATGGAGAGCACAGCTGTTTTGCAGACCCCTTTGCTGTCAGTTTTGCCAATAGAGAGATAATGCTCTTCTCCGGCCTCTCAAAACTACATTCTTTAATATTTGTAGCATGTTTAGTTTGCTGAAAATACTTAGACATTTGCTGCACTGCTAAAGCTAACTGGCAGCTTAATGCATTGCCATATGTTAGTTTAATACCAGTTACAGACCTGGTATGTTCTCACAGCAAGATGAAATAAAGTCCTGCATAACTAAATTCAGTGTTTCTTACAACACAAGCTCTTATGCAAGAAAAATGTTGTTTTCATCATTATATTCTTTGATGTAGATATACTCCATTTTGCTTTGCTTCACATTAGGGCTGGTGAGATAAATTAGCTAGTGCATGCTATTCCCTGGTCCTGTGCATTGCATAATGCAGACAGAAATGAAGGTAGCAGCCCAGAGCACTTTCTTGGGTGTCTGGTAAAAGCACAAGTCTCTGGGGATCTTCCTGCTTGTCTTATAGTGGTGGGCATGTGAAGCTTGATGAGGAGACGGACCTGGGCTATGTGGAGAATGGGACGCCATGTGGGCCAAATATGGTGTGCCTTGACCATCGCTGCCTCCCCATCGAATCCTTCAACTTCAGCACCTGCCCGGGCACCACAGACACCCAGATCTGTTCAGGACATGGTGTATGTTCTTATACTCTTCATTCCTCTTGTCCGTTCTGGCTAAGTATACAGTATTGTGTAGCAAAGTAGCTAGACCTTGCATGAAGCCAGCAGCGTGACTCTAGAAGTCTATACTGTAGGAGACTTATCAGTGAACATAATGTGCTGCAGTCTAAGCATCACAGTAAGTCACAGTAAGTAGATATTAATTTTACAAAAATCTTACCAGCCATCACTTGAGCTAACTTGCTTGGTATTTCCTCGGGCAGCATGCAGAAGGATGTAAAGGTTTTGTTGCCCATTTCTTAGAAAGGAGGGGCTATGTTCTTCCAAATGCTCTCTTTAATTACTTCTGTTGTGTCAACAGCCAATAAAATTCATAAAGTCATTTGATTTTGTTGGCTGAGAGTTAATTCCCACCGGAAAATGGAGTAGTGAACTGGCTCCCGGCTCCCATGGTCAGTGTCTTTGGTCAGTGCAGAGCCTATGGCTTTGCTGTGGCCCTGGCAAATCTCTTTGTTCCTCACGCACTTTGAAAGAGTGTCCAGGTCCCTGTGGCTTGGCTGAGATCAAAGGAACTGTTCTCTCTTAATGCCTTTTGTCTCCTGCACTGTATGAGAACTCCCTTTATTATCTGAAATTAACCACTTCTTCATATTAAAAAAATAATTGAGTCTCCTAAAGCAATTTTAGATGGCTCTATTAAATATATATTGAATTAAAAATCTATTAATGTACTCAGTATCTCCCACTATGTGATATATTACATAATATATTACAATATAATACATATATAAAGTGTAATGATGCGTTTAATATATTTATATCTAATACATAAATTAAAAATTGCAGTATATTAAAAACGTTACGCAAAATTTTGCAGGCAGTTAAAGTTGGCACATCTAACTGTACCTATTCTGTAGTTTAATTATGGGAATAGATTAATTTTATTATTTGATTCTGAACGGCACTTTTGGCTGCAGGTTTGTAGCAATGAAATAAAGTGTGTCTGTGACCGATTCTGGGGAGGGGATGACTGCAGTTCTCGAATCAAAGATGATGTATTTTTTTATAAAGACGCCATCAACAAAGGTATGTAGTTTAATTTTTTAACAAAAATTAGCAAAGCTTGGATTTGAGGAAGTTTCATTAAGCAAAACTAGCTCTCTGACTCTTCCAGCCAGCATGCAACACGATGCACCGGTAGGAGCCTCATCCCCTTTCTTCCTTGCTCAGCAGAAGCACTCACTGTCAGTGCCACTCATGAGTATTTGGTGCAGCACTTGTGACTGTCGCCAGCGCATCTAGTTGTGTTTTGCTTGCCCCAGACATTTCAGTGACCTGATTAAGTGATTGATAGGTTAGGACAAACAAAAATTGACTTGTTTTTGTATCCTGGTGGAAAGATATAGTTTCTTACATTTCATTTTTGTTCGTAGAGTCAGTTTTTTATTACATGGAAACATGCAGTTTGTTGACACGAAATTTTAGTCTTTTACATTTTTTTGAGTGAGAGTTTTTTTCCTCTTGAGATTTGCGTACAAGAAGATAAATTGGAGAGAAATGAGAGTGTAAATGTTTTATATAGTCATTAGAAATTGCTCTATGGGGCAGTTCTACTGTCTCCCAGAATGCCATTTCTGGTCTTTTTTACTTTATTCAGCAATGGGGAAGTTTTAAACAATGACAAAAAGTCCCTTTTATTCCAATGTAAGCATTTGTTTACTGAACAGGTGATATGAGTGCAATATAGTAGTTTAGTATTGATGACATTATGTTGGTATACCTGGCACAACTTTTCCAAGCAGCAAGCATTCAGTTACATGAAGCAGATAGAACTCAAAGTTTGATATACAAAAGAGCTTTTGATGGCCGTGTTATACTTCAAGATGGCATTGCTGGTTACAATTAGTCATCTGAGTGCAAGTTGTTCAAGCAGGTTTTTGAGAGATGGTGAATTTACTGTTCTTGTATATTTTATCCTGAAAGTGCATATTTTTCCCCTTTCTTGTGTTTCTAGGTGTTGTTAGCACAAACATAATAATAGGGGCAATTGCTGGCACCATTTTAGTATTGGCTCTCGTTTTAGGGATAACTGCGTGGGGTTACAAGTAAGTAAATTGTATTCTTCTTAATTTAGTTAAAATATGCTTATTTAATCTGATAATTGGCTACTTTGTGATAGAAACAAACATTCAAACATCATCTAAATAAATCTAGATTTTATTATATTTGTACAGTATCATTTTTTGTAGTGTTAGCATTTCTCAGAGGATTCTTATATGTATATGTGATTTTGCTTTTGGAGGGTTTGGTCCAGGTTTGAAAGATTTTTTTTTTTTTTCTTCTGTTTTTTTTGCTATTTCTTTTTATTATTGGAAACGGCCAGATTGTAATTTTGCTGCATCTAACTAAGGAAATGCCATATTACAGTCTGATTCATTTACAAGTCTTTCCTAATGACAGAATAAATTTAGAAAGATTTGCCTTCAGACAGTAAAGCCTTAGGTTTCCCTAAACAGATATTTCTCTTCAGTCAGCTTAACCCCAAATCAATTCAAACATATTTTTTTTGTGAGAAAGACCTGCAGTGTGTAAATAAGTTGTGACTTCTTTCCTGATGTAGAACTGTAAGTACTCTGCTCACTGAAGGTCAAAGTGGATTGTTTTAATCTGATTGCTCTTTTTCAGTATTTCTCCTCTTGTGAATTTCTTCTAAAACCAGAAAAATGTAGTTCTTTTGCATACATTACAAAAAGTCAGGTGCTTATTTAGCCACTGGTGTTTGAGTGAGAGTGACTGTCAGAGTCCTTCCTCCGTGCGCTCTTGAGGCAAGTTGCACTGCAGGCAGTGCTGTGGCCAGGACACAGCCCCTTGGTTTGGCATTACAAGTTGGCATGTCCCCTGCCCCAGCATTACTCTGAGGTAGGCTGAGGGCAGCCAGGAATACATAAGGAAAGAGGCTTTTTTTGGAAAAAAAGCTCAGAGGATTAGGATAGTAAAAGGACAGGTTATGCTGCCATGATAGTTCAACGTTGGCTGCTGGAGGTATTTGAAGATTTGAGCTTCTATGTTGAGTACAGCTCCAGAAGTTAAGGGCTGGTTTGGAGGTTAGCCAGAGAGATTCGCTCTTGGAAGTGGAGGGCAAAAGGGCACCATTCATCAGCAGCACCACAGTAAATAGACTTAAAATTGTTATGAAGGGCACTTCCAGGTCAGTGCTGACGTCTTCCGTCAACATGAGTGTTTTTCCTTGTTTATTCTTGTTTATGATGATGTTTATTTCAGAATTGGATTTTGTTGAAAAATTTTGAGCAAAATTTCCATTCTGTATATGTTTTACTGTCTACGTGTACCTGCATACTGATAATGTAAACATATTTCTTTCTCTTCTTTTTTTATGGAAAGAAACTACAGAAGACAGAGGTATGTGATAAAAGTAATGGAATGTATTTCTAGAAAATTCTGAAAATATCTTTTCTTGCTCATTTACATGCTGCAAAGAAAATATAGGGGTGATGAATTATCATATTTTAAGAAATATTTACTTGAGTATATAAAATTAATGTTGATTCTGTACACACTGCTTGAAATCTCAATTTCACTGGACTCATTGGCAAAAGTAATGTTTACTTCTTAGAGCATTTTAGGAAAACAGGAGAGTATTTCCAGTAAAAGGCTGAAAATCTGCTATTAGGGATAAAATTATCCTTGAGATCTGAGGATTGAATAATTAATATTCACACGATATTTAGGAGCCTTCTGAGACAAATTCATTTCCAGTGCTTCTTTGCAATTAATGCAAAGTACTGTGCAATTAAATCAGTGTGTGAAAGGAGAGCCCATTCCCTACAGCCACCCTGCTGATGTATTTGTAACCAAATCATAGCACCACCTTCAGAAGAGGCCTCAGCTTTTACACTTCAAGTTGGTGGCCAGAACTCAAACAGTGATTTGGGGTTCAGCTCCCAGAAGACCACCATCATCTGCTTCACAAACCAATCTGGGAAGGAGATCTGCTGCTTCTCACAGGCCTCTGCAGATGAACCATTTTCTCAAATTCTCCTGTTTTCTGCCCATGTTACCAGCCCCTGATCCAAGCTGTTGCTTTGTATGTTGCTGCTACCTGTTGTGGTTGTTCTCCTCCTCCTCTGCTTGTGTAGTGCTTTCTCTGCCAGACTTAAAATACAAAAAGCAGGAAAACTCTGCAAAGTGCTGGTAGCTTTATGTTGTGCACAACAAGCTCAGAGAGAAGACAGAAACAGTGACTAGAAGAAGTCAAAGCAAGCATTATAGTTGGACTGGCAGGTAGGAAATGTCACCAGGCACAAGGAAGGAAGAATTTGGGAGTTTGGTGGTGCTGAGTGGTGAATGTTGCATCCACAAACACATACATAGCCTTTGAGTTATTCTGTCGTTGGCAGAGGACGGAAGGGACCTCTAAGTATGGGAAGAGACTACCTCCTGTGTATAGCACTGGAATACTAGAGAATCTCATGTTTTTCACATTTCCTAAGGATGTGGTCGGTTTGCAGCTATGTCTGTGGGCATGAACAGAGAGAAACCAGTATAGGTTACAGCTTTTGGAGGTGATGGAGGGATGGAGATACTTCATGAAGAAAATGAAGTTTGTAGAATTATTCTGTGGAACTGTCTATTCTAAATAGAATTATTTTGGATATGTACACAGAGTGCCCCACAAGCGTTAAAAACAGGCATCTACCTCAGTGTCTCTTTTTTAAAAATTATTTATTGTTAGTCCTTAAATAAAGATGAAAACAAGACATTGAGATATTACTTAAAGAAGCATTAATAAAGGAATAGTATTTGATAGTGCTAAGTGAAACAATGAACTAGAAAGTCACAAAAGGAGTGAATTAGCAAGGATTCTGTCAGCTGGGATAAGGTGGATGTATGGGAGCAGCTATTTCTGACCAGGCAGTGAGAGAGCACTTTGCTAGAGGAGCCCTGGGGAGCAGAACTGTGCATACTCTGTCAGTACTGAAAAGGTGTAGTGGCTGAAGAATGGGAACTCAAGAACTGTTAGAGAAATAACATGCAAGTACTGTGGTACATTAGTGATTTCATATTTCAAATACTTCAGGACCATTATAAATTCAAATCCAGAATGAAGAGACACCAGTTCCAGTCTGAGGTTGGACATAATCTAAGGATGAATCAATCTTCTGATAAATGTGCATCTTGATAGGGGAAAACTGAAGCCAAAAATCCTTGGACAGTGCAGGGATAATTGAACTGCTGGTATTATGATGTAGCCAGCTTTCAGATGAGCAATTTTTATTTTCTGGCTTGGTGGAACTGTAACTGGAATATTGAGATTGGAGTTTTTCAGCTGGCAATCAATTTACTGCCTGAACAAAAGTGGCATAACTTGATTGAGAATTCCTAACGCATTGTTTTGTGGACCAAAACCACACCTCTGGCAGTAGAAAAGGATGAACTGTTCTGAAATTTATATGGCATTACTTTTATATGTCTTGGCAGACTGAATCTGTAGTGGTGATCAGTAGTAGCTGAGAAGCTCTGGCGCTGGCATAAATTCCTTTGGACATGAGGATAATCAGTGGACTGGAGATCTTTTTCCTCCTGAAGTTTAAACAACTCGTTGTTGTTATTTTTGAATTCAGTAGCAGTCACAAAAACGGAAAAGAGGGCATCTATCTCAATAATCATCCAGAGGGAAAAACACTCTCACTTTTCCTGAACTCCTCTTTGACTCAGGCTTGCATTCTGCCAGGGGTGCCTTTCACAACCCTCACAATGAGACCTTGAAATGTCTGAGCTTAGGTATCCACCATCCCAAGAACCACCAACTTTAAAAACAGTGATCAGAGTTTATCAGTGAAGTGCTCCTTGCTTTTCCCTCCTAAAACCACATCATTCCCTTTCCTGAACTGTCAGAAATACGCAGAAGTTTTCTCTTGGGTAGTTCAATTACTTCTTATAGATTGAATGTATGTGTTTAACAGGTTTCCTCGAGGGTCGTGATCCTTGTCTCTTTCCTTAAAACTGATATCTGTGTGCATTTGTCTGCGTACTCATGCCTGCCATGTTCTCTGACTCTCCGATGTTTGTTATGCTTCAGACAAATACCCCAGGGAGATTATGTAAAAAAGCCCGGAGAGGCCGACTCTTTCTATAGCGACATGCCTCCTGGAGTCAGCACAAACTCTGCATCTAGTTCTAAGAAGAGGTCTGCTTTTCTGTCGCATTTTCAGATTTCTACCTGTTCCATCACCCATTATTCCATTAGTCAGAACATTTCATTGTTTTGCAGCAGGTTTGATTCTTTCTTCTTTCTTTGTGGAATGTTACGGTTAGCATCCTTTGTGCTTTGATTACTGATTTTTCTCACGTGTCCTGAGCTACTAATTATTACAATTAGGCCAGAATAAACATGTTTTCCAATGGAAACCAAATTTGGGCAGTCCGATTTTCATCATGTTCCTGCTTGGAAATTGCTTTCAAGTAGACTACGGTAATAATTGCTGAATAAAAAAATATTTAAATTAAAAACACTTTTTATCATCTTTATCATGTAATCAAAGAAAAGGAACAATGTCTTGCTTCAATAATAAATGTAAATTCTTTTTATACCTTTATTTATTGGTGTGATTAATTCACTAAGTTGACCTAGACTTCTGAATACTATCCTTGCTGTCTCATAGTAAGGATGATGGTACTTACATTTTATTCCACTTTCACTTACTGAACTAATGTACTAAATGGCTGCCAAGAGTTGTCTTAAAAATGATTCCGCAAAGACTTTCTGTAGTTTGTTGCTTGCTGCTATGAGTAACCAAAGAGGGCATTAGATTTTTCCACTGTTTCACAGATTTCACTTATTCTGTTATTGCTCTGACTATTTACAAAAGAAAGTATTTAAAAATGGAAAATTCATTAAAAAACATTGTGAGTCCTCTATAATTGCTGAGGTCCTGAGGTTATGTTTTAAGTCCCTCTGTAGTCAGAGATGCTTTAATTAAGAAAATCTTCAGCCGGCATTGTAAAACAATTTATAAGAAGCTGTGAATGTCTTTTCAGAGATACACATTCTTGAACCGCTTCATAAGTCAACTGCAATCTCAGTTCTTGTCTCAGTGAGCAGTCAGTAGCTCCGTGTGCAGTTGGCAAAGCCATTCTCTTTGTGCTATTTTTGAAGAAAATAAGGAGAAATATATGGAAGGGGTACATTTGCAGTGCCATGAGGTATATTGGCTTGAAACTATGTGCAATTCCATGCACATTAATTCCATGTGGTCTAATAAATATGTTATTAAGAAAACAGTGGTAGTATGTAATTAATTATTTCCAATTTTTAAATTCAGCTTTTTAGATTTATTTGTTGTTACTTGTTTCCAGGAGCAAAAATTAACTTTAAATGGTACAGTGTTTGTGTTGGAGAATCTTTTCTCGTGTGGGTATTTTGAAAATTTTGAAAAAAGAAGTCTTGGAAAAGCAGATTTTTGTATAGGTTTGTGTAAGCAGGCTTGCATTCCAGCTAAGAAAAATACTTGTTTTAAAATGAATGTCATTCAAGGTGTTTCATCTTTTGTCCTGTATCTTTGTTTCATAGTCCATTTCTTTCATGTATTTTGTTTATTATTTGTTCTGAAAAGCTAATGATTTCTAAGGTCTGTCTGTACTAGAAAGTTTTTTGTTGCCTGCCAGCAGTTCAGATACTTTGTGCTACTGTCAAGTCCAAAAAAGCAAGCCTGAAAAATATTCCATTAACATTGTGCTGGACCTGTCACAATGCTACCATTTCAATGCCCAGGGACTATTTCCTACATTATTTCAAGTGGGCTGTGATTTGCTCTGGATGGAAACGTTGATGGCATCTCTTCACAGGTGTTCACATGACTGAGATATCAGCCTCCTGGGCTTTTCCTTGCTGGAAAAACCTGTGAAGCGTTAGTTAGTATTCACAGGCATTCAAAGATTTAAAAGTATAAATTTATAATAATTCTTGTTGTTGTGAAATAGCAAACAGCAAAGGCAGTACGTAGCAAGCCACTCCTGGACCTGAGGATGCTTAGGAGGAGAAAATGATTACCGAATCTCTCAGTGGATCTGTCAGTTCTCAGATCTTTTATATTTCATATAAGTTTGAATTAATAAAGCATTAATAAAGCCCTGAGCTTACTTCAGTGTGCCTGTGATTAGCTTTATCTTCTGGAAACTGAAGAGCATTTGTCAGATGCCCGCACTGCGTGGAGAACAGAAATGGAAGAACACAAGAGTGTTCAGACTTCTACAATGCACAGAAATACATCTTTTAAGCAAAACTTCTTAAGAAATAAGCCTTCTATTCTGACCAGTTTTGCTAGTGCAGACAGACCTTAGGCTGTGTTATGACACCGACTTTGGCAATGTGGCTGTCTCTGAACAGCTGAGCTAGCATTTGTGTTGAGGATAACACCCGTAACAGTAACTGCATCTGAGCCCTCCTATTCCAGGTCAAATGGATTATCTCATTCCTGGAGTGAAAGGATACCAGACACAAAGCATATTTCAGACATTTGTGAAAATGGGAGGCCTAGGAGTAATTCTTGGCAAGGTAAGTGTGAACCTTTGTACTGGTCACAGTGGAAGCCATTGCTGCTCTCTGAATGCTTAGGTAATCTTAGGAGAGCAGCATGACTCCTTAAAATTCTGCCTATTGTTAACCTGGAGTTAGGATTTAGCAGTGCCCCACACAAGCTTTATCACATAAAAATTGGATCTAATTTCTGCTATTTCTCCAATGTGAGCCAACATGAAAGAGTTCAAGAGGTCCACTCACTTTTGCCAGCTTTCATGATTTTTATTATGCAGTATCTTTTTTTCTTGAAGTTATTTTTTTCAAGTGAATGCTGAAACTAAATAGTTTTCAGCTCTGTACAGTTGCAACAGTAAGTAGTGGAAGATCACCTAAATATCAAGTTTTCCCAGTCTGACGTAATTCAAAAGAGACTGACTTATGGCTTTTAAATGGTCATAGCTAGGGACTTGTTGGGGATGCAAAGAGAATATACAGTTTGGAATGAAATATAGGTTGGTTTCAAGATATTTTACCACCTGTATTTATCCTTTGATTTCTTTCAGGTAATATAGGAGGAAACAGAAAGAAAGTCAGAGGCAAAAGATTTAGGCCACGGTCTAATTCAACTGAGTAAGTCTGAATTTACAACAGCAAAGCCTAAAAGTACAGTTTTCATACTTCTGTTTTGTAGACCAAGACAAAGAGTAATGAAAAGTAGACAGAAGCATTTTTGCCCTGTGGCCCATTCTGATTGCTGACTGATAATGGCTGATCTGGTAATGGTTTGGCTTTCAACCTCTTTTTATGTATTCTTTAACAAGTTATCTATCAATTTTCTTTTTGTGTAGGCATTCTCACAGTCATTCCCATAGCAGTTCCCAATGATGGTGGCAGCCTGCACTATCACTACAGCCCGTTATCTACAGTAAACTGCCATTGCTGAGTGTATCCTGGTTCAGTATTGAATTTCTGATAACTCATTTCCTACCCTTGTCTTCACCTTGGGTTGGACCATTGCAGAGTTAGCGATTCTATCTCTGTGAACCTGCCTGGAGTCTTTAGGGGAGGTATCTTCTCTAAGAGTATCTCATAGTTCATTGTTGTAAGCTAGCAAAAACTGAAAGAGCCAGTCTTGGGTAAGCTATGGCAGTCCTTACCATGTGGCTGATCCACAGACCCCTGCAGCATGACTTATATGGTGTTCTATATTGATGTGGTAGTTACATTTACTGAAGAGCCCATGAATTCACTGCTTCCCACGGGGAAAGAGCCTTTTACTTAATCCCACTGGTTCAGGCTTCTTTCATGACTGAATGGGGAATGGCTGGAAGCATCATCTCTAGGCGTGTCAAGCACTGGCCGGCTTTTCAGCACTTACACTCCACAGAAATGACCCCTCTGTGACCATGACAGCAATGACAGTGCCCTTTCTCGTACCATTAGTACTAACTTTGCACCTGTACCGGCAAGCAGGCTTGATGCCAACCCTGCTGGAACTAGTACTGCTGTCACCTCTCTGAGCCCTGTTTTCTGCGATCTGAGGAGTTAAGTTTGTTCTGAAATTTTTCTTCCACCTGCAATGAACTTTCTTGAATCAAGTAGGCTTAGAAACGTTCACACGGAAGATTCTGTCTTCCAAACTACAGAAATAATAATTTGGTGCACAAAGCAATTATTGCATTACGTGGCCAAAATGGTCACGTGGAACCAGAAATATTAGCCCCCTGCCCTTTAGAGAAGTTTATCAAGTGCCCCTGTGCTCTTGGTTTTAGTGCTGATAAGCCTTTAAAGGCATATTATTTTCCTCGTTTTCTTTTCTCCTTATACGAGCCAGTTTGATAAAAGTGAAATTAATCTGACCAAAACAAGATTGGAAGTTCTTCTTTAGAAGCTTGTCCTGTGCTTTTCTTCATTTTCTAATTGAATTCTCAAGCAAGATTTATAAAAACAACACGGTTAAATTAATTATGTCATTATTCTATTGCTCAGCAGAGTTGCAAACTGGAGCTGGATTTGATCCATAAAAAATAAGACCAGAGCAGCTCTTTTTATCCCAACAAAATTGTGTGGGAAGAACATAGTTTTCAGTGAAAGCCAAAAAAAAGACCTCTAATGGGCATATTTTTTCCTCTGTGCTGCTCAGCTGCTATGCATTTGCTCCAAGATCTTTAGAGTGCAAAATAATTGGGTAGACAGTGTGTGAGTTAGAAATCTTTTACCCAACACCATTGTTTTTTGTTTCTTTTTTTGAAAGTGCTCCTAAATTCCCACCTAATTCTCAGCTGTTCTTGCTTCTCTCTGTGCCTCTCATCCCAGCAGCAGCCCCTGGTGCTACCCCAGCTAGAGATGTAGCACTGCACGTTCTGTCCTGCAGAGACAAGAGGCTCTTTATGATGGGGCCTGTCCTGGATTGCATGAGACTGTCTGAGTCTCCTTGGCAAACCTATCACTTACAGAGTTCTCACTGCACCAACGATGTGCTGTGAGATTCAGTGGGGAACAGAGAGAACTGCCCAAGGCACACAGCAGTCTGGTCAGTGAGATGATGTGCTCTGAGAGAAGGGAAAATTGACAGAGGAAAGTCTAACTGTGGCCAACATATCCATAAAAAATAAATATGTCAGCTGCGTTGAAGATGCCTCAGAATACGTGGTGGTTTTTCCCAAATTTACCTTCTTATCTTCTCTGGGAAACAGAGTAATCTTAAAATCTGTTTTGAAACAGAAAGCCCACCTAAAGCCCTGCAGGTCCAAAGAATACTTACTGAGACAGAAAACAGGGAGGAATGCTGTTTGTCTCTTGTTAGTATCAGAGACAAATGGATCTCCCACTAGAAGAATGCATTCATTTGTGCCATACCTTGTGCAGAATTCTTTTTTTTTTTTAATGTTCAGATGCAGACTGATACACTTGCTTACAAAAGTATCCGACGTATTCATTGGTCTGTAGCAATTGCACATACTGTGCACAGCGTTTTTTGTATACAGCATCAGATAACAGAGAAATGTGCCACTGGTCATTTAAATGACATTCTTTTAAGCACTGAGCAAGGTCTGGGCTGTGCAGCCCTCATGAACAGCACTGACAGAGGGGCTGCATGCGACTGTTCCTGAAATGTGTCCTGGTGACACCTCTGTGCATCTCCTTGTGCACAGCAGATCCATGGCACAGGGCATTGCTGGGAGTATGGCTCTGCAGAGACTGCTAAAGCTCTTTTGGGATGGATTAGATTGTTTCTAGGTGTTTTGAAGCAAAATTCTTCATTAAAGGCAAGTGGTTCAGTTCACACAGAAGCAATGCCAAAAGGCTAAATGTTTGTGCAGCTTTTTCATAAATGGCCTGATAAAACTGATTAGAGGTATCCAAGAAAGACGATGAAAGTTTTTTGAATAAGCTGAATTTTAACTGGGAGCATGTGTTAAAACAGGTCCCAGGAAATGTGTGCTTTGCCAAATAGCAATTCTGCTCTCTGTTAGTTCACACTGCTTTTCCTATAAGCGTTTATCTTCCTCATTGTTGTAACTGATGCAAACGTTTTTGGCTTAGACTCTCTATTATATATTGTGTTTTTGCAGCAGGGTAACCCATGCATCTGAGCCTGGGCTTTCTTTCGCCCACCCAACCCCGTCCCAAGGCATAAGCCCAGAGGGCTCTGACCCCCCCCAAACAGGGAGCCAGAATCACAGGTCAGTCTCACCTGCCCCTGCGCTCTGGGCTGCATTCTACCCCCTACAGTCCCTTTCCCTCAGTATCCCCCAGTGCCACTGCGGCAAGACGCGGTGATGGCTTTGAGGTGCTCCTGCTGCCGCCGTGCTAGCTGGCCTTCCTCCTCCCAGCCCGAGGGTACCAGTGTCCCCAGCCCAGGTCTTTGCACTGTTGCATGTTGTGCTGCAAGCCAAATGGAGCTGTTGGTTGAGCTGTAGGCTTATGTGTAAGAACACCTTGGTTTTCAAGGGAAACTTCTCATTTGAAGGAAATGCAGATTCTGGCCCTCACTAATGATGTGGCCTTGAAGATCAGCCTGAGAGCTTACTAGTGGGATCACATAGTGATCTGTGAGTTACCTGGTTCAACACTTCTGTAACAGGCAGAATGGGGTGGTGAGCAATGGCCAGTGGTACAGCTGGAACAGGGAACCCCGCCACATGGCGGTGCAACCGCTGCATGCTTTGATACCACTCTACACTTGGTTTTCTAATGCAGGGAGCCAGACTGGGAGTGTTTCATGGTTACCAGAAGAACCTTTCAAATGAAAAAATCAAGTCAAAAGTACTGCAGTGATGTCTGTTTTCCAAGAACATATGTAGTCACACATAGTTAATGCTAAAACCCAAACCTATTAGTTCCTGATGACGCTGGTATCAGCCTGTGGCTCCACTTGCAGTTCTCGTGCTGCTCTACCTTTTTTGACATTTTCTTTCCCTAAGAGGCAGAGCTGGAAAGCATGAAGCACTCCTGATTCCTTATCAGTAAGCGAGCTGAGGAAGCTACTTAGAAGCGAGCACTTGTGGCTGAGGGCGAGAACGTTTGGAAAGCTGTGGCTGCGCTTGTGCGGGGTGGGGAGAAGTTCCAGAGCCAAAAAGGAGGCCTAAGCAGTCAGAAAGTGCCGCTGCTTTTGTCTCTGATGTGGTCTGAAATATGGGCAGGTTTAAAGGGCATGGTCTGGCTCCACCAAACCCCACCTGAGCAGTCCCTTCTCAGGCCTGTTCCCATGAGCGAGGTCAATGGAATCCCTTTCGTAAGGATGGTGAGAACTGACCCCAGGTACCAAAACTAACTTAAAAAGATTTTTTTTTTTCCCCTTTCCCTTGGTTACAAGTTATTTCCTGTTTCAGAGTGTGCTAATCTCCATTAAATGAAGGTGGTCGTTACAGATAATTGTGAAACTGTTGCCATTCTTATACAGCAAAACCAGATTTAAATTGGACCAGACAGTTTGCTGCTTCTATGCTGCCCTTCTTTTCTTAATGTTATGAAAAGGGAGAAATTCCCTCAACATGGTACTGGGAGTTAAGAAAAACCAGTCAAAAAAAGTTATCTTCTTTGCTAGTAACATTATTGTCAAATAATTAAACACCATCTTTATTTCTAGTTTTCATGTAGCTAATATGAGTATGTAGCTCAGGCATGTTTTACTAAAACGGGTGGTTTTGGTGTCCAGGTTACTTCTGTAAAATGGGAGATAGCCCTGCAGCCCACCTCCTTGAAAGCTTCTTGTGGTCCTATCACAGGAAACAATAATAAAATCAAATGTTTATTTGCGCATAAATGCAAAAACTGCCACCACATTGGCAAGCAAGTCTAGCCTTTCAACGTATTGAGGCTGAAATTCATTCCTGTAGAAGGGCCAAGCCAAGTTTCCATACTCATTTTGCCATTGTCTTGCAATTTGCTCTAGATGGGTACAAACCTGTGTCTGCAACTGGGCAAAAATGTAGGACTGGAGCCCAAATGCCCCTTCAGCCTTACTTTGAGATCATGAGAGGAGTTGAAAACAGGAGCTTAATGCTGGCCCTCTGTCTAGGAGTGAATTTTGCCCTTAGGAGAGAAAATGAGTGATGTATCCTTTCATAGAATTTCCAGATAAACCAAACATGCCAGTCTTGTCAGGGATTCTCATGCAGTTGTACACATTACCTAGTCCTCACCCTACATCCATACTGATTGATTTGCCATATTCACTTGCATTTTGGGGATGAAGACATCCTTGCTAAGCTTGTGCTGTGTGTTCTCAGATTTTCTATTCTTGTTCTTCTGCTTTCTCTGTTCCTTCCATTGCTTTCTGCAGGTATTTAAACCCATGGTTCAAAAGAGAATATAATGTAGCTAAGTGGGTAGAAGATGTGAATAAAAACACTGAAGGACCATACTTTAGGTATTTTGTAAATTAATTCTATATCTTTTTTAAGAGCTGTTCCAGCATATACAAATATCTTGAGACTCCTACCTTGTATAAATCAATACAAGTTACTGTAGGTGCAAAGGGCCCCTCTTCTTTTGCTGCATTTTGATGTCTGTTTTTGGCTTCATGTGCAATTTACAATTCTTTTACTGAATGTTTTAATGAAGCCATTGAAAAGGGTGTGTGTAGTGCATGCATTCCCACCATCATCTGTAGCTTGTAGTAGCTTTCTCATCATTTTATGCCAAGTAGTGTTTATGGGCATGAGATGTATTTATCACTAATAAGGTGGTATTAACTTAAATAGAATTTAATTTACTGAAGCAAACGTAACACCTTCACTCTACCCACTGTCTTATATAGTGCATACTAAAATTTAAACAAACAAAAAAAAAAAGTAGTGGTATTTTACCCTCACCATACAACGAAATAATTAGCGTTGTGATTGGATAAATGAATGTATGAGAATATACTCTGTGCTCTGCTTATCAAACAACTAATGAATCTGTTACAAGTGAGTGTAGGGTTCTATTCCCCAAATCCCCTGTTTTTGAAAGGAAAACGTGTATTCAATACCTTCCAAGTTAAAGAGAATTCTGCATGAGGCTGGCCTTCATGCTGTACATAATCACAAGTCTGTGTTCCCAGAGATGTAATCCTGCCACTGAGCGAGCAGTCTCCATCAGCTGAAAAAGAAACAGCTAGCATAGAGAAAGGAAGACAATTGTGACAAAGGATGTAAAACACTGTAAGCTATCAAACAGGAGGCTCAAACGAGTTGTAGAGATGCAAAGAATAAAATATGCAATTTTTAGCTGAAACGGTGGATAGTAAGAATGAATAAATAGAAATTTAGTGGTAATTGTGACACAGGAGTGGGGCCTACTAATAGTGCAAAAGGGCAGCAACATTCACTATGTCTGGTGTTTGTTTGGGGGAAAAATGTGATGGGATTGTAGTGCAAGATGTTAATGAAGCACTTTTATTCTCATAGTTACACTGGAAGGTATTAAATAGCAACTTGGGATTTTAGTCACTTTTAGAACTGAAAATCCCTTGAAGTCTGTCAGAGCTTTAAATAGTCATTTTTATGTATCATTTACATTTGCTTTCAAGAGTTGTTAAATTGCAGAGGAAGTAGCAGAGAAGTGTTCCAAAAAGCCATCAGGTCAGATGAGGTGAATTTAAGCCTGCCAGCCCTGAGTATCAATCCCTGATGCACGAGTTCCAGTTTTCAGGGAGGATTTTGTGGCTGTGCTCATCAGCATCAACCAGGTCAGGGTGTTGGTGCCTGGACACTTGAGCAGGTGATTGTGAGCCCAGTGGTGGTGTTAGCAATGAGGTCCAGTTCCAGTGCCTGCAGTTCATGAAGCTCGTTCAAGAATGAAGGAAATTTAGGCACATAACCCAGATAAACCTTAGAAGAGCCTTCAGGACCTCAAGCTGTTTGGTTTTATGGAGCAGTTAAATGCTTAGTTGATCATAAAACCCACATATCTGCACATGGAGCAAAACCTTGATGGGCATTTAGATCAGTACTGATAATGATCAGCATTCACTGGAAGGTGAAACTAGGCAAACTCATGCTAGGAATGAAGTGTTTATGAGCAAGAAGATCTTTTCCTGCGAACGCCCTTTGGATCTGTGCTGTTGAGGCAAGGCAGTCAGCCTCCCGCCATGACCTCACCTCCCTGCTGCCTCCTGGGGTGTTCATAGCTGGAAGCCCTCTGGCTGCAATAGACAAAGACAGTGCAAGACTATAAAGACTGGAAGTTTAAAATATGTCACTTTAATTGATTTAGCTAAACAGGTTCAAATTCCTGGGTGCATACTCCTAATTCGGTTTTCATTTTTTAAAATTGGTATTTGATTTAGTAACCAGGTTAAACTGATGGGAGCATACCCTGGCCCTGAGGGTTTTCCCTGTTGCAGTGAATGATTCACATTTCTAATTGCATTTGAGATAAACCAAACATTTTAGTGTGTGTAGATGAGGATTAAGCTGACCCATGTGAGTTTTTAGGGCTCTGTATCAGCAGAGATGAAACTTAAATTAACAATTTTGCTCCACAGAAACTTACTGATGACTGCCTGCAGCAGTAACTTTAGAAATGGGAGGGAAGCTAGAATAAATTTAGAAACCTGTGTGTCCTAATTAACTGAGGGTAACCGTAGAGAGCTGTTCTGCAGGGATATTATGGAAGGCAAAGGGTCAAATCTCCTGGGATGAGTTGCCATGGGCTTTTGAGAGATTACACCGCATGGTGCTCCCAGAGCTCAGGTGTGATCTTGGTTAAACTGTTGTTGGTAGGAATTTACTGTTCCTTAGAGCTGCATGTCAGAACGTCACACAGTTGGGTTTTGATCTTTGAAATAATTCACACAAAAAAAAAAACAAACAAAAAAACCACAACTAAATTTTGTTTAGAAAACCAGAATGTCAGGCTGAAGTCAAGCTGTCCAGGTGATCTTCATTTTAGGAATCACAGCCTAAGGCTCTCACATCAGATCATCAGCCTGGAGGTATTTTTTGTTCTGAATCTTTGATTCATCTTTTCCTTTAAGGAGCTCTGAAAGGAATACTGCTCTTTTGCTTGTTTCCCTGTAATTTTGTGAATATCTTAATGACTGGTGCTGTTGTAGGTGAACCTGAAGTAGACTTAGGAAAAACCAAAAGCAGTTCCTACAATTCCAAGGAAATCTGCAAATTTTCAGAAAATAGAGACAGAAGGTATCAAAAAAACTTTCTCAATCAGCTTAAAAAAAAAAAAAAAAAAAATCTGTATAAATCTAAAATTGCTTCCCTGATAACTGGTGTCCTAGTTATTAAATTTAAAGAGTTATTAAATTTTTTTGGTCTAATAGGAATCTTCATATAATTACTTTTTATTAATGATAATAATGGTAGATCTGTTGCTAGAAAGCTCCCAGCTGTGAGAGTTTCTTCTGTAGGAAAGGAAGAGCTCGACAAATCTCATTTTCCTGCACTGAGTCTCAGCTAGATGTTAATTTTACGTGCCAGACCATAGCTGTGTAACCCCAGCAATAATCCTGGGTGGGAAACTGCTTCCCACTTTCAGCGTTGTTGCAAGGGGCACGGTTGCTGGCAGTCTGGGGCATCTTAAAAGACACAGGAACTACAACAGTGTCAGAAAATGAACTATCAGAATCCCCAAATGCAGTGCTCATATATACAATTATAGACCACAGAGATGAGAAGGTGTTCTCTCATCTCTTTGCAGGCACTGCCTACTTTTGAATTCTTGCAAATATTTATGGGTAAGTTAATATCTTCAGGAATATTTAAAAATAAAAAGTTGCAATGAAAACATTTATTTAGATGGATTATCTATAAGAGAAATGGTCATCTCAGATCAAAAAGATGTTGGCAATGGGATGTGCAGCTGGAGCAGAGCCTTGCTGCTCTGCTGTTGGTCAGAGACCCTTTCTCTTAGGATTTCATTTCAGTAATTAGGCAGAAGAGTCCATTAAAGAATATGAATGCTAACTTTGAGAGCACAGCTGAGCAATGCTTGGGATGAGGGCTCTAGGCAAAGCCTCCATCTCTCCTGCAGCCAGCCCAGGGCTGAGCCTCTCCTTACCCCTTAGTGTGCTTCTTTCATTGAAGAAGCCTGACGTGTGGCTGTTTCCCAGAAGGAACTGCATTAAAATACTGAAATGCTTCACCACATCAGTGGTTTTAGGAGACTGCAACTTCTTAACATAGGCTAATTTATGTTGCTAACGTTCTACACAGAGCTGCCCTGTGTAAGCAGATGTCAGGTCAGGCTGATGTATTCAAGTTTGAAGTGTTTTCACTGAGCTGACTTTTAAGTGAATTTCATTAAGTTATTTTAGACTATGAAACACAGCTCATCAACAGTTCAGATCTGTCAGGGCCACTGCTTTGAGTTTGGCTGAAATGACACTTGTAGGTTACAAGACATCTAGTTGTATGACCAGGGGACAGCGTACAGCGCCAGGATTTCCCCCATTTAGGATAAGTGAAGGCAGAGCAGGCAGATGTCTGTCTGCCAAGGAGCATGTGCAGGCATCCTGCAGCTCCATAGCGTCTTCTGGACCCCAGCAGTCTCCCCACACGGTTAGTTTCAGCCTGTACAACAGGAAGACTGACACACTGTAGTGGCATCTTGCTTCCTGGTCAGAAATGTAGTCCTTACAACGTGTTAGGTGCATGGCTTCATTCAGGGATGGTGGTGAAACCTGCAGAACTCTGTTGGAGGTTGGGCTGCTTTCATAGTTTCTTGTATAGGGTCAGCTGGAAGCAGTGTTTGGCATGAAAGCTAATGGATGTGATAGCAAGAGAACTGAAAACCCAGTGAAAGCTGAATGGACCCCTCCCTTGACCAAAACCATCAAGTTTTACCTTCCTTTAACCCTGGCATTACCCTCAAGTGTCCCTGAATGCTGTTTCTTCCACCCCATAAATGAGAAAGGTCATTTCTGGCTCTTTCTCATTTAAAGTATATATAAATCTGGGATACACAGCACATACACAATGGCAGGGCAGAACCTGAAGGGTGATCAAGGAACCCGAACTGCATTTGTCACACAGGATCACACATCCTCAGATCTGTGGGCACGCATTTGATGACTACTGATGTGTACTCACAGTCTCCATAGATGAGACAAAAGATGACAAAACCCAACACCTAACTATAGCAGAAACAAGTGTCAAGAGCCTATGTGGAGAGGGCAAAGTTGTTTCTTTAAGTGTGCAACTGCATTCTTGATGTGTTTGTCCTGAAAAGTTTCCGAGGAGGATGCACGCATTGCACATGCAGGCAAGCAGTGACGTGCACATTGATTACATGTGCAGACTGTAGGTGAGCGGGCAGCATGGAGTGGGGCTGAGAGGAAGAAATGGAGGCAGCTACATTGGAGCTTCCAAACCTTCCAAAATGGCAGCATCGTGTTTGCAAGGGGTTTCAGATAATTTTTAAAAGCACTTTCATTTTGGGCAATTTGTTCTTTTTCTTCCTAATCTTTAAAATATTAGTTCCCTACAGCATAGGATAAAATTCCACTACTGCGTCAAGAAGGAGAATTCTTCTCTCTCACCACTGGCATATTGCTCTAAAAGCTGCCAGTTTAAGGTGGTCACCTGGGAGGCCTCTGCTGACTGCAGTGGAAAGCTGTATGTAGCACACATTGGGTGAACTGTAGAATTGCAGAATGGCTTGGATTGGAAGGGACCTTAGAGCCCACCCAGTCCCAACCTCCTGCTGTGGGCAGGGCTGCCCTCCACCAGCTCAGGCTGCCCTGGCCCCATCCAACCCGGCCTTGAATGCTTCCAGAGATGGAGCACTTTAAGTACTGGAAGGCTGCAGTGAGGTCTTCGCAGAGCCTTCTCTTCTCCAGTCTGAACAAACCCAGCTCCCTCAGCCTGTCATCATAGGAGAGGTGCTCCAGGTTTCTTAACATCTTGATGGCTCTCCTCTGGCTCACACAGTGACTCCAGCAGTATGAATCCAGCTGGGCTCTCTGCAGGTGCTTGCTTGTGGACTCTTTCCCAGTAGCTCTGCACACCTTGTGTTCAGTGAGAATCAGGCAGCTGGTATCTGGTTAGCTAATCATAGGTCTATCACAGGTGATTTGTCTGCTTCTACAAACTCATTTCCAATTTCTTCTACAAACTCTCATTCCAATTTCCTTCTCTTTTCTAAGAAATCAAGGCTAGAATTTGCTGCTCGGGTTTGGAGTTACAGTCTAAATTACAGGCTGCTGGGGGTCTCACTCAGAAGACCTGCTCTGCAGGGAAAGATATTCCAAATGCCCCATTCCTGGGAGGAAGTTGCTCCTTCCAGGGTCACCTATTGGTGTTAATGTAGGGGTCAATTGGCTGTGACTTTCCTTGTTGCCACAGCCTACTCTTGTGATGCCAAAATTACCCATAGGAAGAGCCTATGGCAATGCAAGAGACAGTCATGGTGTCTGCACAGATAAACAGCTTTCTCATAGGAATTACCAAGTGAGAGCTAACATGCTTGGTTCTTTGCTTCTAATCTCCAGGTACATCATTAGAACTTTACCCATCAAGATTTTAAATCCTGCTGAAGCTGTTAGGCAAAATCCACAAATGAAGAGATCACTAATAATCTGTAGAATCTACTTGCCTTGTCTTTGTGCCTTCCTTCTCTCCTTATTTTTTTTTGAATTTATATCCATTAATATTATTTTTAGCGATCTTTTTCTGTCCAGATTTGGCACAGATGGAGAACTTGTAGGTCAGTGAGCAGCAGAGCACTGGGCAGGTTACCACTGAGAACCTTTCCCTGGATTTCTTTGAAAATAATCTGTTCTGTTGCTTTGCAGTTGGGTGCCCAGATTTGTGGTGCTGGACAGATGAATTTCCTGTTTTACACAGCAGCACTTATTGAATTTTTTTTTCCTGAAAATGTCCAGTTCATCTTAATGGGTGATCAAAGTGCATGTGTTAAGGACATGCTTTTCAATATTTGAATAATTGTACTGACTCCAAATTTCTAACTGCTGTTCAGAGGCTATGGCGTGAGGCATTAGAGCATCATGAGCCAGACTGGAGAGCTGTCACCATGTAACTTCCATTGACACCTCGTTGCCCATGGCATCAATTGTTATTTGTATGATAGACAAGAGAATGTGCTGTTGTAGGGAGTTGCAGACACAAGGAAACGATGTGGTAGTCTAAATCAAAGGAAGAATTATTTAAAGGTACGAGACAGTTCCAAACACAAAAGATCTTGTCTATAGCCCTCTCTAGTCAGAAGGACCTGATCGTACAGATCCCAGAAGCAGGGCCTTCAGCTGTCGGCCAGGGCTGCTCCCTGGGGCTCCTTGCTGTCCATGGTGTTGGTAGTGATGCTCACCACCGGGGCCTAAAGGTGCTCAGCCCCTGCTATGTGTGTGGGGATTGGAAGTCTGTTTGAGGGGACTGAGGGAGTGCTTCCATTTCAGGGGCACACAGGAAATAGCAGGCAGCAGTGCTCAGGGAGGCTCTGGGAGATGTGCCTGCACTCATGGGAGGCCTCTTTAGAAAAATGCCCTCAGTCTGCAGAACAGAGCAAAAAGCTAAGGGGGGGGGGGGGGGGCTCTCATTTTATTCGAGCTCTGGTTGTTGTTGTTGTTTTTTTCACCTTTTATTCTGCCCAGATTTTGAGCCTAATAGGAACCTCTCAAGTGGGAAAAGTGCAGATTCTCAAATCAGAAGCATTAGAGTTCTTTCTTGGGTATAAAATTTCAGTCAATAATGTGCTGCTGCCTTATTGACTTGAAAAGAATGCCTTTCATGTGATTCAAACATTTCCTTGCTCTTGCTTATCCTACTCACCTTGTACAGAAATGCTGATTGCCATTGACTAATCAGTCCATTTTTGTATATTCTCATCAGACTCTTTCTTTGGCTGGAACAATATGCACTGTATGATGCTTGCATGTCCAGTAGTTTGTTATTAGCACTTTGTATATGCCTTTGTTCCTTCACAACTAACAGTTTGGCCTCCAAGTGCATGCGTATGTGTAAATTAATGCATTGTTGTAAGATAATAGATTCATTTGCTATGTTTGTATCAATATAGGAGGTGCACAAGATAAGCTTAATATCTGATAATTGCCATTTAGTCATCCACTGCAGAAAACATTGTTCAGTTTGTATTTATACTATGACTGCTTCACTTTAGGGTTCATAACACTATGTCTTCTAGTTCTGTTAATTTTAAAATGATTAATTACATTAGCATGTAAATCAGTTTAAAGTCATTTTTTTATATGCAATACGATTCTAATAAGTAGGATATCTTGTTTTTTCCTCCAGTGTTCCTGAGAGCTATAAATACCTTTGTTTATAGTCATGAAATCATTAGACTACTGATCAAAGAACTTTGTCCCCCCAATATCAAACTAATAATAGACAACATTTGGCTCTGAACCAAGCCTCAGAGTAATGGCAGTTGCTGTTGCAGTGCTGGGACCTGAAGCCATGACATTTATTTTGTGTTTCAACATCTCAGGACACTGTCTCCTGCAAAGTCCCCATCTTCGTCCACTGGATCTATTGCTTCCAGCAGAAAATACCCTTACCCAATGCCTCCGCTTCCTGATGAGGAGAAGAAAGCAAACAGGCAAAGTGCCAGGGTATGTGTCCCTCTTCACTGCATTTTTGTTGCTGGTGTAATTTACTGGTAGCTCTGCAAAAGTGAGACAGATCTTTGAGAAACAGTGAGAGCAGAGCTGGTGTTTCTTCAGATCTGTAGCTCAAGCAGCTGCTGAAAGCTGAGCCTCTGGCACAGATTAGAGCAGTCCTGGAGCTTGTGTTTATAGACACTTATTTAGGTGGCGTTCACACCTCAAGCCCAGATTTCAGTACTTCTGTTTCAAGCTGAAAGCTTGCCTGGGGCAGCCTCTGGGCTGAGAAGAGCAGTCTGGCTCCTCTCCTTGGCCTTCCAGGGGTCTGAAACAGCCAGAGATGCTCATTTGGGCTGGGGGATGGCTTCCTTCCAGCATGATGGAAAGGTGAATAAGCTGCAGCTGAGCAGGATGCAAGGGGCATGCATCAGGCCCTGGTAGACCTGGAATGGCTCCTCAAGGTGGGCTGAAACTTCTGGAATGAGATTTCCAGGGGCTATTTGAGCGAGCACAACTCCTCTAAAATTTACTTCAGGTGTGTGATAGCTTGTGATGCGATTCCCACCACTGCTCTCTGTCCTTTTATTTGAGAAACAACTGAGTAGAATGCTGCAGATGGGTGCTGCAGGCTCTGCCTATGCCCTGTGCTGGGCAGGGAGTGGCCTGGGGCAGCACGGTGATGCTCAATGTGTGGGGAGCTCCTGCTTGACATGTGTGTGAACGTACCCAATACATGGAATGAGCAGAGGGTCTGCCTGGGCCAATGGGCAGCTCCAGGCAGGCAGTGCGGGGGCCTTCCAGTCTTTGGGGCTGCCTTGCCAATCACACTGCTTGGGTAGCAGGCTGTGTGTCTTTGCGTATAACGTGTGTGTTTGTGTGCCTTTTTTTGCCTCTCCAGCTATGGGAGACTTCCATTTAGCTGCACCGTTTTCCTGGGATGACGCAAGAACTTTTTACTTTAAATTCTATACAAACTCAGCACCACTGAGTCGTTGCACATTCATCTGCTCTTCAGACAATTCAAAAGATCAACACAGATGCCCGTGATCACAGTGAGAACCTCCTCTCATCTGGAAGGGAAAAAGCAGTCTCTTTTTTCTTTTTTTTTCCTTCTGTTTTTGTTTTTTGATCAAGCAGAATTTTACAGACTTGCTGTAAAGAACAACCCAAACCATCCCAACTACCAGGGGACCATTAGATGGACGTGAAGAGGCTGTTCCGCACGGTACCAGACATGCTCACCCCACATCCTGCCTGGGAGAGGGTTGGGGTTTTCCCTTGGCTTAGTGCAGCTCCAGGTCATGCTGACCGGCCTTGGGAATGCGCACTCAGGAGAAGCTGGCCGATGTAAACTTGTACGCTGTGTGCATGAACCTTGTGTTCTTTACTTTCCACATGTAAGGGATAAACAATATACTGTAGTAGAAATCAGCATGCAGGAGTAAGAAATATAGGATTTTTTTTTACAGGATTTCAAGCTTTGAAAGGCAACTCTTTGAACCTAAACATCAAACAAACAAGGATTATATCTTTTTTTTTTTTTTTTTTAACCTTACATGTTTATAATCTCAGTATACAGATTGTATATATGTAAACATTTGATAATGTCAAAAATAGCTATTATACATAAGTGTATTTTGCCAAATGCCTAAAGAAACATGACTAACATCACACTTCAAATTTTCTAGTACATGAGCAGACAACTTTGGAAATACAGAAAGTACAGTACTGTAAAACCACGTCACAGAAACTGGTTTTTGACCAAGATCTGTACTATCTTCTAAGTAGCCGACAATCTCAATTGTATGGTGGAATGCAGGAACCAGTACGGTGGCACTTTGTCTTAAATCATCATAAGGGGAAGCAGCCAAAAAGCGCTGTTGAGTGAGATGACCCAACCCGACACTGGGGCGATCAGGAACGATCCTGTAGACAACAGAGACAGAGCCTCGAAGTAAAATGCAGTACAAACTTCCTGGAAATCTGGGAATAACTTCTAACGCTCAATTCAGGATGTGGTGATGTGAAGTCCTCTGGCAAGGCTTGCTGTGTATTTCTGATAGAGCACTTCAGATGCTCTTTTGGATGAGACTGTAACTTAGGAGAAACCTAACAATTTCACTGCACTAGATAATACCAATGCTGGGCAAGTGGCCAGTGTCATTGTTGTCTTTTCATTTGTTTGTGGAGTTTCCTTTACTATGTGCTCAACTGCTCTGCTTGCTGCCTCTGATGTCCCCTTGAAACGTTTGGGTGGCCGTAAACTGAGTACAAGTGAGTTTAGCCAGAAAAAATGGAAAAAAATCCCAACACTTTTACTGTGGAGATGTTGATCTCCCAAATCAATGGATAGTTAGCTTTCGAATACTGAGACTTCTAAAGGGTGTCTGTTGTACTACAAAGGTGGACATTTCCACTCAGTAAGAAAACTGGACCATGTTAAATCAATCTGTAATTCTCCAGCTCTCCAAAAATGACAAATTCCTAGCTTCTAGCAGTGCCATTACAGAACAACACACCCGATTCTGTATGGTGCAATTGAATACCTTGCCAACAGCCGAATTATCAATTAGATATCAGCCTGACGGGAGCATCCACAGTGTTTCTGAGTCTTCTACCTCTTTCATGCATTTCCTTTAAGAAGCAAAGCCAACACTTTCAGCCTCTTAATATATTTTTTTAACTTTTAAGTAAGTGAATAAAGTTGGATATATGTAAGATTAAATTAAGAAATGTTTTAAGATGTCAGCAAGTATAAAATATATAAGATTTTTAGAAGCACTATATTTTATGATTAGGCTGTGTGTTGGATTGTAACAAAATGTTGACCTTGGAGTTCGTTCCAATGATTTCCTTCACAGTCAACAGGTTCTGGTAAGTATTTTATAAAAAGGCAAATATGAGTGAGTACAAAGTACAAGACAGAATGTGTTGAATGAGCCAGCCACTAGTAATTGCTTTAGGAAAAGATTCTGCACTATTGTGAAGAGTGAATAGCTATCAGCACAGAAGAATATTTTTTGCAAAGACTTCCTTTGAGTGTAGGTAACTGGATGAAAAGTAGTTGATAATGCATAGCTCATGAAGTTGGGGCCTGAGCCATAATCACCTGAAATCGATAGAAGTCTGTTATCGATTCCACTGGAAACTGAGGAGAACCCTCAAGGAGTTCACCTCAATTAGGAAATTATGCTAACCTGATCATCTCTGTTATTCTGTTGCCTCTTAGCTGCTTTCCCCTTTTGTCTCAGTATTTTGTCTCTAATAACTGGACTGTTCATCACGTGCCTTTTACGACATTTTGTTTGGTTACAAACTAGCATGTGATTTTGAATAACACTGTTAGATTTCTGTGCGTATTTCATACTCACCACCCTTTACTCTTCCTTTTCCATTCTGCCTTATCAAGAAGCAGCAAGATTTGGCAAACAGAACTGGGTGTAACATATTGGCTGTTTGTGTAATGTTCATAGCAACTTGTTTTGAAAACAAATGGCTCTCCTGACTGTATTTTCAACATACTGTGTACTTACTGCTTCTTACGTGTTTTGGTATAATACATTCGTAGCATATCAAGATCCAGTTGTGTCACATTTGGAGATATGTAGTAACTGGAAGTCTAGTTACGACTTCTGAGTTTAATAAACATTGACTTTCACTTTGATTGTCTAGAATGAGACCATCACAAAACGTTCATTTTTTTTGCAGAATTCTTCTGCAGAAAATCATGCAGTAAGTTGGCAGCCTGGAGATTTTGTCAAGGCACAAAACCTGAACGCGTATGGCTCTGAAAGCCTCCAATGCCATTGGAGGCCAAAGAGGAAGGTGTTTGCTTGCATTCTATGCTTTCCTACTTTTAAAATGTGTGGAAAGCTGTCAGATTAGTAACCTTGAAGATGACTGCAAGTATCTTTACCTACAGTAATCGGTTACACTGTCCATAGCAATATAAATAGCTGCATAATCCCTCATGTAGTCTAAGATAGAGTACTTGTATGGTTAGTAAGTTAGCTCAGTCATTTTGACTCCTTCAGACTCAGGCTTGTTTTTGCCAGCTATGCTGAATATCCAGATATGTTGAAGTGGGGAGGTTCTGAGTTCTTCTCAGGTACATTATAATTACCTATCCATGTGAGCATATGAACAGCAAGATGAGTTAAACTAATCCTAGTCTTGTATTTCGACATGTGGGAGAAGAACTGTGTGTAATTTAAAATAAAATTAATATCGCTAACTGGTGGAGACTGAAAAATGCAGACTCTATTCAAATAACAAGGCTGCACACTGATGCCGCAATTTAAATTTAACAACTAAAAATCTACCTGCTAATTCTGTTGAGGCAATACTTCATTAATCCATGCTATTGCCATTTGGTGAATGCACTCAGGCAGTTCACCAGTAATGGTTGGGACTGAAAGTTTACATATAATGTTGTTACCTGATAAGAAGTGTGAGATGCATCTTTGAACACAGTGACTTCCAAATGTTTTAAGAGTTTATTTCCTGATTAATGATATGTTGACCCAGCTAAGCTCATGTACTCCTTAGTTAATTTTAATTATGCTAATGAACAAATGGGCCTTTGGGCTATAGCCTGAATTAAAGATAAAGAAATTGTGTCAAGCTAGTAGTGTACTGAAGACCTCTTACCTAAATCACTTGCTGGTTTTAAATGGACCTTGTGGTTTTGTCAACATCGATAGAAACAATTGTTTTCAAGACCAGGGCTAAGAGTAGGTCTGTACATTAATACAGGCATGCATATATTACAAATTCAGACCAACTTTTCAGTCATTGTATCATGGACATCCTCGATGTGCTAAAAAATCTGTTAGAATGAGAGAATACATGAAGTTAGATTTTGCCAACAGGATATAACGTGAAACAGTTATGAGACTCCATAAGCCTAAGTGATAATAGATGGGCTCTTAGCAATTGCTCTGTTATTAAATCCCATATCTAGCTGTCGTAAGCAAACTTACCAAATTCCAGTGTAAAACTCAGCATACAGAAGTTCTCCTCCGTTCTTTTCTTCCATTCCCTTTCCACTCCTACTGAAAAGCACTCCCAAATCCACTAGCAGCCTCTTGTGTTGGCTGGCTATGATAGAAAAGCTGCAAGTTAGCTGTCCTTCCACCCAGCATCCTAGGAAAAGTCTTTCCAGTGCTTTTGCTCATGTTACAGTATGGGTGAAAGAGCCTCGTGTCTCATTTGCAGTGGTAGAACCATTTGATGGTTTTCATCCAGGTTTTCATATCATCCTCTAGTGTTTTGGATGGAGAAGCCTCTTTGATCACTGTAACCTAAAAGTTGTGCTGTCTCCCATTTCTCTTGCTCCAAGTCTCAAGGCTATCTAATTCTTCCTGTAAGCTATCTGAATATCTGCATCATCATCGTTGTTTGGGCCAATTTTATTAACCACGATGTAAGGTTGATTTACCTCATTTTTTAAGAACTTAAGCATTCTGGTCTCCAAAGTTAGGGGTTCTTTTTGCTCCAAATGCATCATCCATCAGACTGTTTGCATGGCTTCCAAACCACGCGACATTTAGCAGCAGTATGGGATTTGTCTTCTGTCAGATTTCCTGGAGACAAATATGGGCAAACTGCACGTTTGTACAGCTTGCTGTCCCATGTCTGCATGGTGGGGTGAAGTTCCCGTGTGCACATAGCTGTTCTGCTATGACACAGCAGGAAAAACGGAAAACAGTGAAGCTGACTGTGCAGATATAGTTGCAACACAGATAGGATTCTCCCAGAGACACTAAAACATTCCTTTGACCCAAACATTTTCCAAGGTAACTTACAAAAAGTATTTCTGGTGCCTCATGTATGGACGCTGGTAAGACTTAAGGTTTGGAAACATTTAACTCTTCCAGCCAGCAGGTGATACCGTGTCATCCCAGAGCAGTTTGCTGCAACTGGTTAGAAACACACTACAACCATCAACATAAATGTATTATCTCAGGCAAGTAATCAAAGCAATGTTCAGAACACGAGAAATGTTGTACCTGACTTTTAAGTTGGCTCACCTTGCTGAGTCTGCTGTTTTTAGTTCTTTTTAAAAAGTACTTCAGCTAAAGCACATGTAAACTCCTTGAAAACGTTGGTTACACAGGTTGCAATGGCTGTAATGGCAAAGTAGCGCAGCAGGAAGATAATGAAATGCAGAGCAGCCTTCTGAAGGAAGAAGTCTAGGTGTCATGCTATTTTTCATTACTGGAGCATAGAATGTCAAAGCAACAAGCTATTTTTTCTGTTTCTCTACTCCTGTAACTAAGAAAAAAACAAGTTTTGGTTATAAAAAAGTCTCGGGGCCTTAAGACCTTATATATTCTAATTTCAGCATGGAGAGTCTATTTTTACAGTCAAATTAGAAATTCTGTATATAGGCCTGACTGACCTTGTAAGTATAGTGGTGCTAGCAGCTAATCATACAATATTGTAAGGCTCTGTATAACAGTAAATTCTGGCTTATTTTGGTGATTGGTACAAGGATTCTTGCTCACTGCCTGTGTAAAGAATCTGCCTATTTTATGCTTGGAAATACAGCCCAGAACATATTTGAACTATGAATATATAACCTGATTTTTCCCTTCTTAAGGGTAAAGATATATTCCAATAGGTAGTGTTTTATATAGAATACAGTACTTATTTTTATTGTTGCATAAACGCAAAATATTTTTTTTCAGAGTAGCAAAGCATTACAGAATTTTTAATCTGCTGGAGAAAACACTCCTTACAACATGACCACTTCCTTCTGCAAAGCTTTTGGGGTGCTGTCTTCCAGTTGCTTCATTTTGTGCTGATGTTAATCCTGGACATCACTGTAAGAGAAAGCTACCTATTTTTCCAGTCCTGCTAGCCCTGACAGGTAAAATATTTGGGGAGGCAAGAATTGTTTCACTGTTGGGGTTGGGCTGAGGTTGGCAGAAACAACCAATTTACATCATATTGTCATCTTTGCTAGTTAAAATCCTTTAAAAATTGTACCCGATGTAATAGAAACATAAGATTTTGATAAACACCAGAATGAAGCGCTGCAATTCACAACTTCCATCTTTGAGCGTGATGTTTCTGTCATCAGCGTTACAGGCATTGGGCTGTTGAAGTGAATGAATCTGGCTTTCATGTAGCTGAACAAAACGTTGCTTTTTATAAAGTAAGATCGTTGTCATTTTGGGGTTCTAAATTCCTGCTCACTTTTAATAACAGCATCACATATCTACTTCTATGAGAGTATTGAATACAAATGCCTGTGGTTTTCAATGTTACTAACATATTGTAACATCAGTAAAGTGACTTTCAATGACAAAGACCACGTGTGTATTTTCCTTCTTGTTCAAATTATTGTATTTAGCACATTTACATCCTGTTTTAAAGATCTCTGGAAAAAAAATGTGCTGAATGTATGGGGAGAAAAAAAAAGGCTGTTGCCTAAAGTGCAGATGCTGGTTTTCAAGTTACACGTTTGAAAATAATCCTATAAGCTTCCCAATCTTGGTCTTACTGTCCTGCTGTTCCTTAGGCATGCATGTCTAAAAGTAAGCTGGAAAAAATATGTCAATTTTAAACTATGCCCAGTTGTTTGTATGAAGATCAAGAATAATCATCCCACATAGCATCATATAAGGATTCTTTCATTGTCTTCTGGGAAAGAGAAAACCTCAATTCTGAGTTATAGATTAATCTACCATAATGGAAAAACAATTTTCAAAGGTTGTTTTTTTTTTTTTCCCCTTTTTAAAGATGACAGCACTGTATTCACTCCTTAGTAACCTTAATGATTATCTTTGTTTATGTTTAAAAGCAAAAAGTGATGTAGTCTGCCAGTCCCTGTGAACACAGGATTTTTTTTAAGTGCGTATGGAAGGCAATGCTTTCTTTGGTAAACTAGAATTTGTTCCTGGTTCTTGAACTCTTTGCTTCACAGTTTTGTATGTTTTGTATTTACAAGATCCATGAAGATAACCCTGTTGGTTCCCATATTCTTGCAGTACTTTGCAGCCCAGTAGGTGATTGGTTCAAGCGAGGAAAACGACTTGGGGTCTTGGTTTTGGTCTTCTTTCCTTGCACTAGAGAGCATGGAAAAAAGAAGCCAGACAAAAATGGTATCATCACAGAATCATCAATGGCCTGGTTTGAAAAGGACCACAATCACCATCCAGTTTCAACCCCCCTGCTATGTGCAGGGTCACCAACTGCCAGACCAGGCTGCCCAGAGCCACATCCAGCCTGGCCTTGAATGCCTGCAGGGATGGGGCATCCACAACCTCCTTGGGCAACCTGTTCCAGTGCTTCACCACTCTGAGTGAAAAACTTCCTTTTAAGATCTAACCTACACCTCTCCTGTATAATATATAAATGACACCACCTCCCACCTTTCTCTCAAAAACAACAAATAAACCACAAAAACATAACCCACCTTGGTACTTTTCAAAGTAAAGAAATTCCTTGTTTCCACAGTAAGTGGGTAAGCTGGACCATTTTTGCATGGTACAGATCAGCTAAGTGCGTTCTTCAAGCTTTTATTTGCAGATGTAATTTTATTCTCAGGTATTATTTCATCATTAATTCTCAAGATTTATGGCATAACTTCATACCTATAACACAACTTCTGGGGTCTCAGACTAATCAGTAAGTTACACTTATCTACAAGAATGCTTTATTCATTATTGCCTAATGTTTTTTTCATGAACATACCAGGCCTGTGCTGGGCTGACACAAGCCAGCAGCCAAGCACTCAGCAGCTTCTAGCTCCCTGCCTGCTCTGCCCCAGCAGCTATGCTATATGCTACTTAACATATAAAGACAGGAAGGTATTGGCTAGGGTTTAAAGAGAAGGACAGAAAAACACCAACTGACACGTCGCTGCAGTCTGGCAACTTAAAGTTCATAGATAAAGGTAATGTATAAACTGACACAACACACTTACTTATTTTAAAATGTTTTATGCAGTGACACAAAGAGAGCAAGAATCTTACTGAAACAAATACCCCCTATACAAAGGCACACTGTCAGAAGAGTTCTCTGCTGTGTTTTATTCCTGTTTAAGAGGAGCTGTAAGAGGCAGTCTTACACTCAGTGGATGGTGTCATTGATCTCATCTTAAAAATGCCCAGCTGCCAAAACAAGCACCTTAAATTTTACTGATGATCTAACAGTCAAGAGATGATCCTTCCATAGCTACCTCTTTCGGTTTTTACATATCTTGCATTGCCAAAGACAAAAGAATATTATTTTATGCCATCTACATGATACTGCTGAAGACAGAGGGTGGTAACTTTCACCAGGAAACAATTTTTAGTGAATCATAGGAAAAAAATAAACACAGAAAAACATAATATGTCCGTAATCTTTGTTACACATTGTGTCTTAGAAGTTCATGAAAATAAAAAATCTTTAATAGTCACAGGTTGAAAGTTACACATAACAGTGCATGATTAGTTTATATTCATTATCAAAACTGAAAAAGTATGCCAAGCAATACCTTCAGAAAGGTACGTAATTTCCAATATTGAGGCACACAGTCATGGAATAATTTGGCAAAGCAAAGCACGAACTGGAATGATAATTGTGATCCACACTTTCCCTTTTGATTTAGATGCTCATAACGCACTGAATGAACTGGAAAAAAAAAAATCACATATTAGAAAACGCTTTTTTTTTCCCCTCCTACTGTAAACAAACTCAGTTCATAAGCAATAGTTCATAAGCAATAAAGCTTTGTAATTACATATGAAAACTATCTAATAGTCAATAAAAGTTACAACAATAACAACAAAGAACTACTTGAATGTACTGTTCTGATTATCTTGCATAGAGACAAACAGCCAGGAAGCCAAGACTTGCAAGGCTAACAGAGTACCATTTGTTGTGTCCATGCCACCACCTCCCCCAGACTTTCCCAGGAAAAACGCCTACCAAGCCTTAAAACAAAGAAACAAAGTCGAAGTGATGTTACCAAGTGTTACAGCTTTTTGAACTGTACTGGTAAAGGAATCCACAGGAAACTCCTAATGAATTTGGAAACATCTCTATAAATGTGTGCGAACTTTGTAATGGAATACTTGGTCCGAACCCTTTTGCCTATCTGAATCCAACAGAGCGCAATGAAACGAAGCCCCAAAACTCCTCTCAGGTAATAACTGTTATCATAGGCAAGAGGCACTAACTGAGATTATTCATGTTTGATTCCAGTTTTAAGTTTTCCCTCAGTTTTATCCCATAAGTTTAACTGATTCTTTTAAGTTAACTTACATCATCGTATTGGAAATTCACAAAACCCTGCTGAGATGCGTCCCTTCTTCTAAAACATTCTGCAACAATATTAAAACAAAAGATAAGTAAGAACTACTCAATTTTTTTGTACTTTGACTGTATTTTAGCTACATGTCTATTGCAAGAGCTTGACTCTTACAGTCAACCGTTTGTATTAATCCTCATACTACAATTTTTTGTGGTAGCAAGGGTAACAGGAGGACGGTTGCACTAGATGACCTTGTAGGTTCTTTCCAACCCTGTGATTCTATGATTCTGATTCTATAAAGCAAAACACAAGGTTCAAGACTGAAAAATGAGAAATTAAAGCAGAGTAAAGCAAAGGGAAGAAAAAAAGTATCCCGAAGTCACAAGAATGAGAACTCAAGAACAAAGCAACTCAAGACTTAACTGATCCCTATGTTTGCCATCCACAGCACCTTCTGCTCCATTAATAAATACAGTTTCCCAGTTTTGATAACACAACATTACCAGTCTCTGGAACAAACCCTATATTAGTCCATTTTTTCAACAAAGACTTCAGTAATCATCATCTGTAATTGTTATGGTTCTGCCTGTAAAATCCACTGCAAGAAACTTATTATGTTACATAAAAGTTGAACACGAGAAACCTGAGTAATTAGATTATATTAAATAAAAACACATTACAGAGATGATGGTAACAAGGCTATAATCTGACATACCAGTGAGAGCTCTGAGTTTCACACAGCAGGCGATGTAATCGTCAAAAGTAATCTTTCCATGAGTGCTGTATCGCCTGGTGATGGCAGACACTGCCTGCGGGCTCAATCTAAATCCTATTTGGCAACAGAAAGACAGGTACGTTAACACGGCTGAACATTTTTATTGGAAATACTATGGATCAGTTACTATAGTAAGACAATAGTTATGGGGGAATGCTGGAACTCACCAGCAGTGAGGAAATTGCACAGCTTACCCATAGTTGTCAAGGCTTTCTCCAGTTCTGGGCGATCCACCGTCCCACTGCTATCGCTGTCAAAACTTACAAAGTGTTGCTTCCAGCCATTGACCACAGCCCACAGTTCCTTAAACTCATTAAATCCCAGTGTGCCGGACATATCCCTCTGATTTTAAAGCTAAGAAAAACGTTCCTTAACTTCATAAATTAAAAAAAGACAGCTCTCTATCAAATGGAAATCAGCTTTCTTATCATCTGTAGACGAAAACTCTTTCTTTAAAGGTCACTCGTAATGGTATTTTGTGATTACTTCCTCTGTGCTGGCAAACTAACTGAGGCACATCTCAGCACCGACAGAGGTAACATCACCAACCAAAACCAAACGCCAGAGGACTCACCATCCACACTTCTCACTTACACCTTATGAATGTGACTCACTTAACAAACTCTCCTCTACCTGCTGCAGTGAAACTCCTACTAATGCATACATGAAGTAAAATTAGATGCCAAATCAAAAAAGTAAGGTGGAATAATATTAGAATATGATCAGATCGCTGGTATCACAGTTTGTCCAAGTTACTGGACATCTCAGTTTCATTCCTGCTTTCTTATTAAACAACAAAACATTTGAACATCACAGACTAAGTTTAAACTACAAAACTCCCAATACTTCAACCCTGCACAGTGTATCTACATCTTCCATAGGCTGTACTGCTGAGTGCCATATACTCTAGTGTTACTAGAGTAACAACTTCATTCAAGGAACAGGATTTAGGAGGCCCTTAGATGATATCCAGCCTGTGTAGGACAGATGCTTAATTCATCAGGACACTACCATGCTGTCCAGTCTCAAAAGTACAATGAGCTATTTGCACAAGGCTCTGTTCTGGGCTGTCAGACCTGACTCTTCATACATTCAATGGATAAACAGCCCCCTAGTCTTAGGGATGTCACTTGTTACAAAACTGCCGACAAACTAATTTATTAGAATTCTGATTTATATAAATCATTCTGAAAATGATTTATTAGAATTGTAAAAACGTACATGCATAAGAACAGAGTGTTGCAGTCCCCAGTCACAACAAATCGAAATATCAAGTGAAGGCTGAATGCAAACTGCAAAGCATTTCCCATATCTCAGGTTCTCTCTTATCTTTGCTTACATAATGCTAAATGTTTATGCTCCATAACAAAGGATACATCCAGCATTGAGATCATGAGTCTGCAAGTCTCCAAGTTGAAAGCTGTTTAAATTATAAGAAGCAAAATAATTATTATTTTGACAATTTCAGTTTTTATTCATCTAAGTTCCTTGTTATTCCTTTTATTCATCTTTAAGTTCCTTGTTATAAGATAAAGTAGTGTATACAATATAAATGAGCTCTTCCAGTGTACAAAGCAATACCATGTTTCAATCCAAGTACGAGCTTTTAATCATTACTCGTTAGAAACACTGACAACAGACAATCTGGAGACACTTTAAATTCTATATAAAATTAATTTGCTCTTAGCTCAATCCATAAAGGTTTTGGGTTTCAATCGAAGTGGTCCTTCATATTTTAGCACAGAGATGATTTTAACAAGGTGCTTTACTCCCTGCACTCAATTTTGTAAATGGAATGCTATGCCCCAGCACAGAATGTTTGGGTCAGTATCAAAGCTCAACTTCCATTGCAAACCAAAACTGCACAGCTCAGCAGTGGAGAAAACGAAGGCAGCTGAAGAGAAGCCCTAAGTGCACAGAACTAAATAGAGAATTTACATTTTAAAGTAGTCCATATGGAAAGAAAGCCTCTTCACCATGCAAATAAAAGAAACTGAAGAAAGCACAACTGCAAGCATTCTCTAGTAGATGGGATAAGAATTAGTGCACGTTAGCATTGTTGCTTTGTCCGTTTAAATTGTTAACTTACGTTTATAGGCTCCTGCAATCCCTGACTGGGTGAGACATCTCTGTAGCTCATCAGCATCTATTTGTCCATCCTTTCGATAACAGAAGATGTATCAGCTATTGCTTTAAATTGCTCTCCCATGTTGGTTACTCCCAGTACCCACTCGCTTTTCCATAGGCATTGATTTATTAATCCTTCTGTGAAACAACTGATTGATTACCTGTCTCTATTTCTGCTGTAAGTCAAAATGCTATCAATGACCCCTATTAATGAAGTTTCTTTAGCTGATACTTTTACAACATGCACTACCTTTCACATTCAGCGTTCCCAAAAAATGAACAGGATTGGCAGGTTTCAATGGGTATTTCTCTTTTACTCGAAGTTCAATGGGTATTTCTTTCATTTCAGAGATTTATGATTTCACTGCTACAGTAGAAAACCTGGAACCCAGATCGTATACATCCTCTTCTCAAGACTGCCTCAAAATAAGCAAGTATCCTTAAAGCCCTTGTGTATTCTGAAACAAAAGCCAGATCTGGATAACTTCAGAGTAGAAAGTAAGACAAAAAAGCATGATCTTTTGATTGTGTTTACATTACCATGAAAGGGCCTGGCCTTTATCTTTCAAAGGAGAGTTTAAAGAGCTAGACTGTAGAAGGCACAGAGGCTTTGGAAACATTAAAAATTATTAGTTCCTATGGAGGCAATAATAAGGACTTGGCTTCTTTCCATAAACAAAGGCAATTCATCAAATCAAGACAAGAGTTCTGTTGTAAATTACTTGAAGTAGTTTGCAAGAAAGCTCAGGCAACATTCTATATTAGGCATAAAAACAACACAGTGGCAAACCACTACAGAAGTTCTATAGCAAGGACTACTGGAGAACTGTGATATGTGGCTTTGTGCAGACTTTTGTAGCAGGCTGTGAAAACAACTGATAATTTATGTTTGATTTCACTGATTCCCTAACAGAATTTTTGCTTCTGGACAACTACTGGTCCCTGGAACAGACACTTCTGATTCTAAGGTCGAAATAATTTAAAAGCTACTCTATTTATTTCCATAAGGAATGGTTTCTACAAATAAAGGGTATTTAGAGTACTAACATAAATACTTGAGGTAATAACTTGATTTTACCCACTGGCTTTCTAGTTTTCAGTAACCAGGCCCCACCTAAGCTGTCTGGGAGTGTTCTATGCTGTACTTAAGTCCAGCTCTTGCCATAGCGCTGCATTCTGCATGCTGATACCTCTCTCTTCTTCTTTTCACCAGGACCCGACTCATTTTTCCCAGCATCAGTTACAGGCTCTAATGCTGATTCCTGACACACAATCTGGTGGCACATGAACGCAGAGAAGCACTCAAACTGGGAAATTATCATTCAGCCCATGCTCTGTCTTACTGGAGAGCCTTTACACATAACAGTTGAGTTAACCCAATGTTCACCTTTACTACAAAAATATAGGGTCTATGTATTTGCACATGTAGTGTTAGAGAAATAGCATATAGACTGAAAGAAGCATTATTAATTGCAAAGAATAACAATGTGAACAAAAAGCCATAACCCAAATTACAGTCTTAATCTGAAAACTTAAACATGAGCAAGTCGTCTGAATTTAAACCCCATGTTGTAATTACATGTACTTGTGGGTATGAGATCCAGGAGCAGAGTTCTACATTTCCACATACTCCATAAGTGTGCAGTAAAAAGCTTTGTTATAGACAGAACTTCTGGCTCAATAAATCTGATTTGTTCCCAACCTTATCTCCAGAACAACCACAAATATATGTACAATTACAAAGGGAAGACAGTTGTGAACGCCCTTTGGTCATGAAAGGGTAGTCTTACAACAAACCTAGATGTTGGCTCAAGTAGAGACTGCCATTGCAGTTATGACTCTATTAAGCTACAGCAATACCTTTTTTAACTGGCATTTCCTGCTTTTACTAACAGCACCTTCACAGCTGATGTCCCCATTGTTTCTGGCTTTCTTTTCCAAAAACAGCATTTCCCAACCAATGGCTGAGCCACAATTCAGCTGTGGCATTTCAAGTAAATGCAATCACATATACAGGAACTATACACAGGCTGTTCATATGCACAGCTGTATCTCAAACAGTACAGATACATAGCTATACACTAACTATGCAGACTGAATAATGCTAACCAGCTCTTCGACTGTGCTGATGCATTTCAGCATATATGATAAGTAAGAACAGTCAACTATTTATTGACAACTTGAAACCATGGAGCTCTCCCTGCTGCAAAAATTAGGCATTTCTAAAATACAATGTAGAAATGATTGTCTCCCAAAATAAGAAGTAAATAACACTTTGTAAGTTTACCTGTCCAGCTACTGTAGCAAAATAACCGTACAGAGGATCCTGAGCCTGTCCAGGGAACGCTGGGCCTCCTGGAGCAGCTCCATACTTTAGAAATCAAGAAGAAAACGTATTAATTTTAAAGTAATGATTCAGATAGGTACACGAAATAATAACATCTGTACTGAAGAATCAACTTGTGCTTTTATATATGGAGGTTGCTCTGGAAGTAATGCCTCCTCTTTGTTTCCATGGAAACTACAACAGAAAGAAAGCACAATAACACTCTTCAACAGAGCAAATTCTCAGCTACAAAATACTATTTTTCAACACAGTCACTGCCATTAACTGTGTATTTTTACCAGTGATGAACAAGAGCCTGCGTGCTGCCGCACAGCCTGTGTGTGCCAACAGATGTTGCTGTCACCACTGACATGCACAACCCACTGCCCCACTGCGCTCACACCCACTGTTTCATCTCCACAAACGTCCAGTCAGCGAATATCAGTGGGTGCCATTTTTCCCGCATGGAGGAATTCAGTTCCACGCCTTTGCTACAGTCCACACTTCATGTCCGATGGCATTCTGTCAGCCTTGCCCCCCCGCTGCCGTCTGTCACACGGCAACAAAACGTAACGGAACATTGGTGGGAAGGTTCCGCATCTATGCCAAACCACCAACATCCGCCTCTGACGCCGCGGGCCAGCACGATAAAACAGGAGGCGTTAGTTTCGGAGCAGCCCTCGTACATACCCTGAAAGCACTGCTATCACTCAGCCCCGCTCTGACGTACTCTTTGGTCCTATTTCAGCCCCTCTGCACCCCGACACGCGCCGATGCGGCCCCTTCCTTCTCCGCGGGGCCGGGATCGTGCCTTACGCACCGCACCGGCCCCGCGGCCCCTCACCGAGAGCCCCGCGGCTCCGCGCCCCTCATCCCGCCCGCCGCCCGGACTCAGCCCCGCTCACCCCGCCCTGATAGTAACCGCCGCCGGGCGCCGGCTGCCCGGGGAACGCCATCTTCGGCTCGCACCTGCCCCTCCCGCCCGGACTCGCCTGGCCGCAAACACTCGGCCGCGCTTGGGGGGGGGGGAGTTGGGAGAACAGGAACGTGGGGCGGGTCGCCGGCTCCGCAGAGAGACGTCAGGAGGTTCTTCAATGCTGCGATGCAACCGACGGCTCCCGGTCGGTGGGGCCTCCGAGCAACGCGAGGCGCGGCCGCAAGTCGCTGAGGGAACGGAGGGCGATTCCCGCCCCCCCCCACAGGGGTGGTACGGCCCCGGCCTCGGCCCCGCGGCGGTTTTTTCTCCTCAGAGCGAGTGGGCGGCGCGCTGCAGCCGGGAGCGGCGCTTTTCTCGTCAGCGCCGAGGTGAGGCGCGGCAGGCGGTCGAAGCGCGTCGGGTGGTGCCGGTGGAGTTACCGCAAAGGTCATGGACTCAGTGATTCAATACTTAATGGAAACACGGGATCATTACATCGCAGGTTGGAAAAACTCGGAGATCACCTGGTCCAGCCGTCAGCCCGTCCCCACCCTGCCCACCGACCGTGTCCCTCGGTGCCACATCTACACGTTTCTTGAACACCTCCCAGGATGGTGACTGCAGCACCTCTCCGAGCAGCTGTGCCCCTGCATCACCGCTCTTTCTGAGAAGAAATCTTATCCTAATACCCAACCTGATGGTAGAGGGAACATGTTTGAAGCCCATCTTTTGAAGGTGGCTGAGAAGCGAAGGAGTGATGAGGTTTTGGGCTTCACAGATAGGCTGTGTAGTAGCATATGTCGGTATCAAACTGCAGCAGCCAAGTGGCTTTACCAGAGTCAAACTGTTTGTAGTACAGGTTATAAGAGGCATGGTGCTAAACTTGTTCCAGCATACACTGATGTCTAGGCAAGAGACCTTCCTAATTAAATAAGACCTGGGTACAGTGATGAAAAGAATTAAAGGCTGGAAAAATTGCAAGGAAATGATAAAGCATGTAAGTGATAAGATTTGAAGAGACGTACACCGATAAGCAAAATGTCAGATGTATATGATACTCAGGTCATTCTGAATGCCATGCCTCCTCTTTATTTCCATGGAGACTACAACTGCTACAAAGAGCACAATAACACTACTTGATGGAGCAAATTCATAGCTACAAAACGCTGTTTTTCAGCAAAGTCACCACTATTAGCCAGTTTGTGTGGATGAGCTGATCAAGACAGGTGTGACAGCATGTGCAGTCATCCAGAATGTGGATTGTTTTTCGTGTCACTGTAGCCACTGCTGAAACACAACCACCCACTGCCTCACTGTGCTCATACCCACTCTTTGGTCTCCATAAACATTCAGCAAGAGCCAAGGAAGGTAATTTTTTCCACATGGAGGAATGTAATGACACACTTTTGTGTTATACACACTTCATGTCAGACACCACTTTGTCATGTCAGCCTGCCCCTCTGTTGCCATCTGTCACATGGCAACAAAATGGAACGGGATATTGTTGGGAAGGTTCAACTTCTACTGCTGTACCACCAACATCCACCTCTGATGTCATGGCCCAACATAATACAACAGAACAGCCCTTGCATACAAGAGTGACCAATGGCATAAAGGGAATAGGAAGAACATTTTAATTGCATTGGTAAGAATGTAAATATGTAGACTTGTTGCTGGGTGAAGATGCTAAAACTGTAGTAACTGTATAGATAAACATGTCTCATAAGGTGGGTTTCTGTTTTTCTGCTTGAACTTGGCACAAGCATCCAGTCATTCTCCATTTGCAGTGCTTCTAAGACTATTGGCAGTGAGTTCCCTGGTTAATGTTTGTGAGATTGTCTAAATTTAACCACACATATCCAAAGGAGCTAGGGAGATGAATATCACAAAGCAGTGCACTTTATGTGGTTTGTTGGTAGGTGCTTTATTTGAACTGGTGCATTTGGGCTTTGTTCAGTTTTCATCCAAGGCAAAAAGAAGGCAGCGTGAGGAGGTTAATTTTACCTATCTGCCTGAAGGGCTCCCAACCTCTTGGTAACTGATGAATGTACAAAAAGATAGCATTAGTAATGCACCACTAAGAAATATGTGTGGAATATATGCTACTGGTTTTGTAGATCTCAGAGAATATGTAAGCCCTCTAGGGGGAAGACTGAAGAAAAGAAACACAGGATGCTAATTCAATTGCTTTTGAGATAACTCAGAATATTTGACTAAGAAAAGGTCTAAGTAAAATAATTTTGTCCAGAAAATGAAATTTTTGTGTACAGATTGTGTTCCATAGGTTTTTCTGGATTCTTCATGATAGGATTTTAAGAGAGAATTCAAGAGAGTTATGGTAATAGCATTAGTATCTTACAACCTGATCACTAGCCACATTCACTGCATCTGCCATGCTTCCTTAAGGTAAATGAAGGTCAGCATAAGTCTGCCTCTAGTCACAGACTTGCTGGCCTCTCTCTGCTGCCCAACCAGGGACGTGAGCTCCTGCGTTCCAGGCTGAGGTCAACTCACTGTTGCACTGGAGTTCCTCCACCTGGAACCGGGAGCCTTAAGACTCACAGTGTTGCTGTGTTGTTCCCAAGTGGGGCTGTATGCTGAGGCTTCAGGCTTTCCTGCAGACTGGATATGGAGTTTGGCCTTTCCAGAACTACAGTAGAAGAAGCTAGGGAGGAGAAAGGGAATTAAAGGGTAAAGTTCCAATTTTCTGAAATGTTTATTTTGTAAATCAGAAGAACTGAAAAGTTGAGAATAAGTTTATATTACTTAATGAGGGACAAGGAACCCCACTTCGTTACTTTTTTAGTGGCTATAACTTGGCAAGAGGTGTAAATTCAGGCAGTGGAGAGGTAAATATAAATATAGTACAGACCAGAAGGCCTTACTATAATGCCTTGCTCAGCACCCAGAATGAACACACATCCATTGTTCAGCAGTTGGTTGGTTTTTTTGTTTTTTTTTGTTTTTAATGACACCAGCCTTTCTTTTTCTATTTCCTGCACACTGTTTATACTCAGTTCTACAGCCAGTTATTCTGTACAAGGATTTTCTGTTGCACTGATACCTACAATAGCCAATTATTTTGCTAGAATTATCAAAGAATGTGCTTGCAGGGCTTGGGGTGGGGAAGGTATTTCTGACACTTTATGAGTAAAGATTGTTACAGAGGTTAAAAGTTTTTATGAAGTTTGATTGCCCATTTCGAGCTACCTGAATTTTCACCAACTCGACGTGACTTCAAGTCTCAGTTTACCCTTCCAGCTCCAACCCCTTTAACAGATGGCTCAGTGATGAACTTCCTTATTCCTTCCCTTCTCTAGTTCCACTGTACTGTGGGACTTTTTCATCGCTCACTGGGCATCAGCAAGAGTATCACTGAGATCCTAAAGCAAGATAATCCTAACTGTGGATAGTACAGTTAATGAGGTTTTGATGCTGTGTTATTTGAGGTTAACAATCAGCTTTTATTCAGTACTGTACAATAGCACAACTTAACACATTAATTTCATTGTAAATATAGGTTAGTACATTCCCAAGATGAGATCTTTGCAGAATTAAAGCTAAAATGTAGTTCTGCAGTAACAACATATTTCTGTTGCCTTGCAGCTTGCAGTTGGATGGTTCCCAAGATGGTCTTTAGCTAAAGTTGTAATTAAGATATTAAAATATCTGAATAAACATGTCTGTGGCTTGAAAAGACATTTAAAGTTCCGCTTACTTTGCATATTACTTAACAATTGAACTGTATATGAACTACTGCAGCACAACAAAGCACAGCAATAAGACGTGATTCCCTCTTATTATTGTTACAATCACAAGTATCAGCATCTATGTTCTGACGTGTATCAGAATATATATTCTCTTATCTTACCTTTGTATGGGATAAAACTCAGAAGTAATGACTGAAATATAAACTCCAAGGCCAGATGAACTTGTGAAGCAGCATCCTGAATATCCACCTACAAGAGGGTATTCCTGGCACCACTCCCTCCTTTCTGAGGAATTTCTTAAAAAAAAAAAAACACAAAACACTACAGATCTCTAATGAAAACTGGACAAATCATTCAGGAGGAAAGCCTGAAATGCACAACCTGTGGGCTAAAAACGAATCCAGCCTTTTTTAATATATTTTCTTTTCATTCGATATTCTGTTTTGGCTGCACTGTGGCTTGGTTTTAGTATGTGAGCTGAAGCATTATTTAGTTTTGTAAAATTTCCAGCAGCTAGGACTTGTGAAAGTACTGGCTTGCTCTCAGGTAACCTGAACTCATTTCTGCCGCTTCATGGATATAAACCTTCGCATCAAGGCTTAGCTGTGCATTAGTTGTGCAAAAACTCAGTATGATGCTGTTCTCCTTGCCATGTTGCACACTGAGCTCAGTTTTTCCAAGTGTTCACATACGAGGATTTAGGAATCTTGAGTTCTGAAATGTTGTTAGGTGTTAAAAAAAGCTCACAGCTGGTTGGTCAACTGTGGAGAAGTGCTTTTGGACACAAAACCAGCTTGTGGAACATGAAAATGGTGTTTCAGATGTCTGAATTCATGGTCGTGAACCAATAGTTTATTTGTGCTCCCATTCCAAACTCTTAGGAGCTTTCTTGACAATCTGTGCAGATAATGTTTATTCTCTCCATGTCTACTGCTTGAACAGAGTTGACATCACTGTAGCATTACTAGAATTCAGCCTCATCTGCTGATCTGTGATTTCCATAATCGATGAGACTGGCTGAATTACTGGGGGAATGCCTTGGGCTGGTTTGCTGCAGCACTAATGCATGTGTGACTCACACAGGAGAAGTGGCATGCAAATAACAAACTCTGGGAAAGCAGAGCTTATTATTTATTTATCTGTTTACTTAATTTAAGGCCAAAGCATGAATGCAGTGCCCCACTACCATGAATGATGCAACAGACTTGGGGAAATCACCAGTTTCAGCATGCCTGGCATGAAAATGTGCCGCACCCTGGGGAAAAAAAAGTTGCATTTCTGATCTTTGATGTCTCTTCTTGTTTGTTTTGCATGTTTTGGTTACTGTTGCTGTTACTGCCCAGGGTGTATGTCGAAAATTCCTCAAGTACTGCAAAACATATCCCCAAGTGGCCAACTGATGTGTTTTC